TCAACGAGACGTTGCAGGCATTACGGCGAAAGTATTTCTGGTGGGGAATGAAAAAATCTATCCAAGGAATCATCGGGAAATGCGAGGTATGTATGCGCACAAAGTATGATCGACACCCCCCCAGAGGAGTTCAGGAAGAGACACCTACAGGGAATATGCCGCTACAAGACCTCCAGATCGATACATTCACCTGGAAAGGGTTCAAGTGGGTCACGGTCATCGACACCTTTAGTAAAGTAGCTATGGCACATCAGGTCATGGACAAGTCTGCCAATGCAGTTGCGGAAGCCCTACAAATCTGGATACAGTTTTACGGAGTTCCCGAGAGGATCACATCAGACGGTGGTAGAGAATTCGACAATACCGCGATTAGGGAGGAGGTGAAAAGGTTAGAGGTTGTGTGGCATTATAACACACCGGGACACCCTAAGAGTAGAGGAGGAATCGAACGCTTGCACAGCACGTTGAGTGACCACATCCGTGTATATCAGGGAGAGAAAGGGTTGGAGCCGGATGTTGCGATGAAGAAAGCCGTAACAGCTTACAACCATTCGATCCACTCCGTAACGGGATTTTCACCTGTGGAAATACTATTCGGGATGCGCAGGCCAAGGAGAGATTGGGGGGAAACGACGACCAATGAACATCTCGTAGAGCAAATCCAGAATACTAGGGTAGAGGTAGGAAAGACGTGGGGGAAGGTAGCGGGGAGAATTCAGCGGGAAAAGGAGAAGCGGGTAGCGCGGCAGAATGTGCAGGTACGTGACCGAATGGGAGAATTAAAAATCGGAACAATAGTGTATCGTAGAATTGGAACCAACAGAGGGAAACAATTGTTACGGTACGAGGGCCCATTCAGAGTGATTGCTATTAGGGAGCATAATCTGGTAACCATTGAAAGCATTAACGAACCTAAGAAGAGGAGAACTGTTCATATTGAACAATTGAAGCTCCCAATGTTAGAACCGGTACAGAAACCAATTGATTCGTAGTACCCTTATCGCGTATTATAAAAAAATATGTTTTTTTTATTATTATTACTGTTGATGATGTCATTTTTTTTTATTATTTTTGTTGTTCTTGTAAATAAAGATATGGCAGCATAATAGAGGTGATTGTAATTTTTATAGGATTAAGAGCTCTGTTCCATTGTTAATAAGACGTTGTGTGTTTACTTTCTGTGGTTTATTTCTTTTTATTTATTTCTCGTTCCAGCGGAGTGGAAGTGAGGTTTGGTGTACTTTAAGTTTATACTGGTACAAATAATTGTAAAGGGTTAAGGCTGATACCGGTGGCTCCGATCTGGGAATTTACAAGTTTCCGAAAATCCTATTCGTAAACTGGTGGGGGGGAGATAAAGACCGGAGACTGGCGATATCAGCCTTAATACCATCTTGTAATGTAAATAAACATAGCAATTGTATATAAGGCAGATTATTGGACGAATAAAGCAGTGTTTATTCAGAAGTCGTGAGTATTGTTTCTCGTTCCTCTTTCCTTCTTTTTTTTTATTTTTCAAGCCCGGAGACGCTTAACTTATATATATATATATATATATATATATATATATATATATATATATATATATATATATATATATATATATATATATATATATATACATACATATTTATTACAGTAACTTTACTAAGTAGGCGGAGCATCCAAAAATTAAAAGAAAGTTAAATTTCGTCAAACGTTATTCAGGACCATTCTTGTAATAGCTGGTAAAAATTTTCGAAGATTCTCGGGTCGAGTTTTTATGTGAAGAAGGGAAGGACATAAACAACTGATTTTGTTTTTCATTTTTTTGTGAATATTTCGACAATTATGAGGTTTGACGGAAATATCATTCTATCCAAAATTAAAGTACTTCAAAATCTCAATAAAAATTGTTTAATACATTTCCTTGATAAAATCAATGGTTACAGAAATATTAAAGGGACAAAATTAATGGAATTACACTTTTAGTAAAAATTGCTTCAATCATTATAAAATCGCTACATCCACTAGACATAATGCCGATTCAAGATTGAATTTGTTTTATTAATATTTACAAGCTCTTTAAAACATATAATCAAATTCTCTTTGTTTTAATGAGTTTAGTAACCAATAATAAATTATCGAGACTCAAGATAATAAATAGAAGCAATATTAATTGTCACTTAGTCTTATATATCTTCAAATGCACATTATTTGCTAATTATTACCTTTCCGCGTTTCATTTTGGACCTTGTGATATTACAGAACAATGAATAAATTTTCTATTCCTACAAGTCTTACCCCATTCCCCAGTCCACCACCGAAACCTGACAATGATTTATACAATGTTGGTACTAATTTCATTAACAACAAATTAATTGAAAACCAATAGCAATTTAAACATTACTACTTCTAAAAATGTTCTTTAATGATTAATATCGAATATTATTTCATTTTGAATTTCTACAATTTATTATTGGTTTTTATTATTACTAAAAAAAGTGAATTTGATAAAACAACTTACACCTCCATATTTTCTTTTTAATAGTATTTTTTGTATGTTTCGTACATTTAATAATGAATAATAAGAACATTGTTTATATTATCGACTGTATTAATTACTGAGGATTAAAATATCGTTAACATATATATGTCAACATTTTACGTTGTTTGAGTCTTGATTAAAAAATATAAAACATATAATTTATTTCCTGCTTAGTATTTAATATAAAATTCTATATTTTTGTAATTATATTTGCTTCTATTAATTTAGATCACAATAAATCGTTTATACATCAACTTTTTAGACACTTTTTTTTAGTTGCTTCTGTTAAAATAAAAGTGAAATCAATCATCAGCTGTTCTTTTAACTTTGTAATATTAATTTGATGTTAAATTCTTAATTATGGATCCCTTTTTAAGAAAAAAGGAGGTTGTAAAGGAATTTTTAAAATCTGGCTTTGGTCGAAATAACATTGTAATCTGATCCGGTTAGAAGCAGTCCCTCCCACGGTTAGTAATTTAAAAAAAAACAATAATAGTTAAAAAAAAACTTGAATGCAGTTAAACATTTAAAACATACATTTTAATGATACAATAATTACAATTGTAAAAAAAAAAAAAAAAAAAAACATATATGTATTTATTACAGTAACTTTACTAAGTAGCCGGAACATCCAAAAATTAAAAGAAAGTTAAATTTCGTCAAACGTTGTTCAGGACCATTCTTGTAATAGCTGGTAAAAATTTTCGAAGATTCCCGGGTCGAGTTTTTATGTGAGGAAGGGAAGGACATAAACAACTGATTTTGTTTTTCATTTTTTTGTGAATATCTCGACAATTATGAGGTTTGACGGAAATATCATATATATATATATTTTTTTTTTTTCGAAAATGGCCCAACATTTTTGTAGACCACTATGACCATTTGATTGCACTCATCTTTATTAACCATTCATATGAAAATCATTCTGATGTTCATAAATTTTCACAACATCGTTGACATGTTGGTGTTGTAGGTCACGCGAAACGTCCCAATTCTGAGAATTTTCGTAGATAAAATATTTGTAGGTTAGGACAAAATGAAGCCACTTATGAAGTTTTAGGCGGAAGTTAATAATTTCATGACAAGGGGCCGGTACTACGGACTATAATTTCTATTCAAAGTAGAAACGTAAGGGAAAGTTGTGTGTTTTTTTTTAAATTACAATCTGGTCCCTCTCGACATGTCATGCATAGTTAAATTACAAATGTGGATTGCAAAACAGGAGCAGTAGATACGAAAGTTGGACTTCCTGTAAACAGGCGGATCTATGGCGAGACGGGGCTTCAGCCCGTAAGTAAAATATAACCATGCTTTATAGAAAAAATATTAAAAACTATCTCTTAAAGTATTATTGTTCGTGTAATTACATTTAATAGAACTTCAAGAACCACTTAAACACTATTTCATATAGGTGGTTAATTTCTTTCCTTTAAAAAAAAAAAATTAATTATCATTATATATATAAGCTTTCGGGCTTCCCCTCCCCTAAAATTAATTCCTGGATCCGCTTGTGCTCCTGTACATGAAGAGCAATAGAATTCTTTGAGTTTAATTTTTATCTTATTTAATGATTACATTTAATTAAATAAATGAAAAAAAAAATTCTATCATAGACACCCATAACGTTAAGTTTGAGAAGGCGCATGGCTCTCAGGTCAACTGAAAATAAATTATAACGTTACTAAATTATCTAAAATTGGAACAATTGTAGAAAATTGGTTTTATTTTTTTCCACTTCATTTCAAATTTTAACTAAACATTTGGATTATATTTTTAGCTTTAATATGGTTTTTAACAAAGATATGTTAAAATATATATATAGTAAAAATAAAGGCTATGTCACTGGTTCCCAACCTAAAAAGTTTGACCATATTAGCCTATTGTAGAGACTCGGAAATAATTTCATGAGAAAGGAATAAAATGTGTAATTTGTTTCTGTTTAATTATTTCATGTAAAACGATTTATTATTTTGGAATTAGTGACAATGTTAGGATAGGGATAAAGAAAGATTTCGTAGGTAAAATTATTCAAATGATCAATGTCATCTCTGAATAACGATTCTATTTTGATTGTTTCTTAAGTGGTAACATGGAACAGATATGAATATCAATTCATACAATAAAACATTACTATGCGCAATCTTTGCCTATTTTATTCATAAAAAAAATATAAACAGATAGGAATAAAAAGAGTTATGAAGTAGTTTGGATTATTTTTCATCTAATGTATAAACTATTAATATTTATTATAAACGTTTCTAGCTACGGCCTAAATCATGTCCGAACCTTTTCAGTTTATTAGTATTTGTATTTTAAATACAATACTTTTATGTCAAGACTCATTTGTTTGACTCATACAACTTACATGGAAAAACGATTATTAAAAATTGAACAGAAAATAAGTTTCCATTTAGAAAATAACCCATTCCTGACTCTTAAAAGATAATCATTAAATCTTCAAGTCAAGAAAACAATTTTTAAAGGCTTTACTTACTAAAGCACAGCTTTAATTAAAAAAAAAACTTTAGTGGTTTTGTATATCGATTGACGGAGGTTAAAGAAAATGGTGGAGGGTTGAGAGAAATGGGAAGCTTAGTTGTTGAGTTGTACAATTCAGCATATTGTAGATTATGTGGGGAAGAAAATTCTAATGGGATATTTATATTTAATGGTCGCTCACAACCTGAAAATTTAAGTTTAGTTATCAATCAGTATCTTCCTGTCGAAGTAAGTTAGTTTCAGAAGTTTCATTTTTGACTATCACTTTGGGATTCTTAATTGATTATAGTTGTGTTTTGTCGTTTCCTTCAACTACTCATATCAAATAGCTTTACAAAAACAAAATTGTAAATAAATTTCTGATCCCAGTGCAGTTTTTTGTTTTGTTTTTCATTTACTCTATCCTTTAATATAAATTGTTTTCATATGTGATAGGTTATATAGCAGTTATATTTTCTTACTGCATAACTTTACATTGTTTCTTTGTCATATTAATCTCTTAAATTATTTTTTTTCTAAAGCCATAAATTTTTGATTTCTTGGTTGTATAATTGCATTATTAGTTATTTTGTTATCACCTGATAGTATTATTTTTCATTTGTAATATAGGGTTAGTTACATTTTCATTTAACTATCTAACGACTATTTGTTAGATAAAGCATTCTTAATCTTATACTTATTGTTTGTAAATGTAACATTTAAATGAGTTCAATGTTGTATATTTTGTAGATTATTGATGATGGAAAACTACCCAGAACTATTTGTCCAAGTTGCCATATACAACTTCAAGGAACTGTGTCATTCTTTAATTTGTTATCTGATGGTCAAAAAAAATTATACAATTTGCTTAGTACCCAAGAACTTATTAGGGATGTTCCAGATAACTCGCCAAAACAGGGAGGATCTTCCATTTTGAAATCGTTTGTTAAAGGTACCCTTTATTTCTTAATCTTTCTCTATCTTCATCAACTGGAATAGATTGTAGATTATGAAAGTTTGATTAATATTGCAATATCATATAATATTGCCTTATAATGATTTATTATCTTAATGGTTGTAAACAATCTAGGAAAACCTAAAACAAAACGAGGTCCTGGACGCCCTAGGAAAGAAAATGCTGTTATTGGTAATTTAGAGAAGGAAATACCTAAACCAGAAGTTATTGAAGATTCTCATTTGACTTCAGTAGAAGAACTAGGAAAATCTAGGAGAAAAAGAAAACTTCCTGTTAGGTATTACATCACTTTTTCTATACATAATTTTATCCTGAAGTTAGGGCCTAAAAAAGTACCCATACCAGGAACAGATTTCAGTGTGAATAATGTTATTATTTATTCCTTGTAAAACAGACCTTGTCTGACATTCCAGAGTTGAGTGTTTCATTAATGAGGTATGATTTAAATAATATTTGGCCAGTCTGCCGAGGATCATTAATGGTATTATTTTGCAAAAAATGTTTATATTTTTACAATTTTTACATATGAGTACAAACATATAAAAAATAAAAGTGCTACACATGGCTCATCTCAGGAGAAAGTGCCCCAGGAGGGTCTCCCTACCCCAGGATCGTTCCACGGCCAATGAAATAGATAAATAATTTTTCTGCCATGAGCCGGGATTCAAAACTGGGACCTTTAGCATTGGAAGTTCAGTGCCCTACCACTTAGGTACCCCACTCCCTATGCAGATATAAACGAATACACAACAATTATTTTAGTGGCCAAACATACAACGTTATCAATTTAATACAAAACAATGATCTTCGGGCCCCCAATCATGTTTATAAAAAAAATAAAAATCGTTTATATTGGAATTCTAAAAATATGCCAAAATAAACGAATACCAAATAATTATTTTAGTGGCTAAATATTTCACGATATTGGAAGAATATGAAATAACGATATTCAGCTCCATTCTATGGTGATAAAAAAAGTACAATACATTTATGTTGTGGGTTCTTCAAAGGAGCTTCAAAAATATACTGTAACAAACAAATACAAAACAATTATTTTGGGAGTAATAGAAAAACACAAAACAATGATTTTGGGACCCCTTTGGCTCGGAAGCTTTCAGTGATTGCCCACCTGACCATACCGGATCTGAATGTATTTTAGAAATTGTGGAACAGTCAGTAATTGTGGTACGCCTCAATATAGAAAATAACTTAAAATAGTTAACTTAACTTGAAAAAGTTTTTCACTATTTTAAGTTTTTTTATGATCACCACCCAGAACCATCTCCTTCCTCAATAAATAAATAATTTTTCAGTTGTTATCAATAATAAATTGTTTCTAATCTAATTTTTATATGAAAATTTGAGATTTATCTTATATATTTTGAACTTCATTAATTTTATAATTATTCTAAAGAAGTTTCTTGAGGTTTCAGAACATTTCATTACCTTTTTTGTTTATTTCACTTCAGGTTCAGCAATAGTCTCCAGGGTAAAGAACTGGAAAAAGTTTATAGAGATGTTGGTTTGCCAGAAGAAGAGCATCAAGAACATGTGCAAAATGGTAAATATGTGAAATCAAATATTTTAAAATACAAAATTGAAATAAATTGTCTCCTTAAGTTATTTAAAAATTGTTTATATTTAAATAAGTACTTAATTAAATATTTGATGCTATATTTTATTTTTAAATAATGTTCGGTTTCGGTTAATCGGTTTTGCCCTGTTATAAGTAAATAATTCATTTGGTGAAAAACATAGATGCTTTAAAATGTACTTCAATAAGTACTTCAATAAGCTCAGTCTTATTCAATTATGTCTCTTATCACGGAAGGAATAAAACTATTTATTGGTGTTTGGAGAGCATTTAGAATTGGTCCATTTGTTAAATATTATTTCTTAATGCACATGGGAATTCATTTTCATTGCTATTATAATAGGTTCGATCCTCTTGCTATTTGACTTGTGTTAGGCCAAGGTAAAAAAATTATTCCTGGAACATTATCATAGTTGAAATTCCAAATCAAGAATAGATATAAATTAGGCACAAGAGTACAAACTCAATATACAGAACTCAATTTCTGTAAACATTTAGTTATGACAAGTTGTTGTTTTACAAAGATAAAATGTTCAATATCTTTATCTTCTAGGGATTATATGAAATATCAAAGTTATAAAAGCTTAAATTTTTTTAAACACGGTATTGAAGATTATTAATGTTCAAAAAACAATACGTATTGTTTACACTATTTAGTAATTTTTAGTTGCACGAAGTTGTTATAGTGTACAGAACCATACTGGTCTACAATGAATTTCAAACAACAACAAATTAAATCCAAAACATGTCTTAATGTAGCTGCACTTATGATATAAGTATTAAAATTAAAATAAATTTTAACATATTGTAGATCCAGAAGTCATTGGAAAAGTTGAAACTGATAAAGGTGAAGACCTCGGTGAGGTGATGGTATTGTCATCTTTAGAAGAGACTAATAGACAGCATATGAAATATCGTTGTGATATGTGTAATCAGGTAAATGTCTTTATTTATAAAATCTTTTCTCTCTTTATTAGCACTTAATAAAATAAATCAGGTGACATATCACACAGCTTTCACTTACCACTCTACTTTCTGCAGAAATTAATTTTTTGAAGTTAATCTGTTAATTGGGTATGATGAAATATCTCTTTCTTTCTTTCTTTTATAATACATTATAAAATATTTTGTCGAAATAAATAAAATCAATAAGTTAAAAATTATTTCCTTTTATTACTTGAGGTGAGATATTACTTATAATTATGGAGAAAAAAGTGAAACGAATTAACAGCTTATACCTTAAGAATGTTACTTTAATTATAATTACAAACCTAAGATAGTTCATATGAATTTTGAATATTCTGTGCAATATATACTTTCAATTTATCATGCTTTCAAAATTTTTAGTTTTCATGTATTTTCTATAGTAATTCCATATAATTTAATGGAAACGTTAATTTTCCATTGAATAATATAGAAGTAGGCATCATTAACTATAACAATTAAAAGTCCTTAGTGTTTCATTACTTTATATAACATTCTATGATTTCATTACTTTCATACCAACCTACGTGGCGCTTAAAACCTAGGTGGTTCTTGGCCTCCTTAATGAGCTGTCGCCATTTAGTCCAATAATTCTGTGCTGCCGCTGTCTAGCTTCTGATCCATAGCAGGATCCATGCGTCCATTGCCACTCCATCAACCCATCGAAGCCTTGGCCTACCAGTCCATCGTGTACTGTGAATGGCTGTGTTCACTACTTTTCTAGGAATTTCTTCTGCTTCCATCCTTGAGACATGGCCAGCCCAACTGAGCCTCCCCAGTTTTATAAACTTTACAATGTCCATATCTCCATAAATGCTCCATCCATCTCCAACTCTCACGGGGCCAACTATTTGTCCTAAGATGTTTCTTTCAAAAGTTAATCTCAATATCTGTACTGTACAGGTGAATATCGTGTGGCCTGAATCCCATACAGCTTTCTCCAGTGCAAGATTGAAGAGGAGACAGGCCAGTCCATCCCTCTGTCTTAATCCTTTTATTACTTTCATTTACTTATATATGCAATGTACAGGTTGTTTCAGCTCTTATTGGCCAAACTCTGGAGGATAATTCAAGACAAAATTTCCAAAAAAAAATTTGTTTGATGCATGAGCCAATAACGAACAGAAAAATCTTTACTAGAAGCTTTTGAGGATTGTGGACAGGCCTAAAAAATGGGAGGATTCAACATTAAATAAGCCAAAATTAAGTATATGAAGACCTCCTGGGGTGATTGTGGGGTAAAGAATGGTCTTAGGACTGGAGAGTACCTTTTTCAAGCAGGTACAGGAGTTTAAATATCTTGGGGCCAACATTAACATAAAGAATGATATACAGGCAGAAATAAAATCATGCATGATGGCCAAAAGTAGATGTTGCTGGGCCCTTGGAAAAGTTCTTGTCAAAAGTATCCTGGCAGTTAAAGAAGGCCGTATATTTTATATACATAGGGCTGTAGACCAGAGGTGACATTTGGAAGTGACATAGGTCCTCACCAGGAAGTCAAAATAAGTGTTCAATATGTGGGAGAGTTTTGAGGAAGATTTTTAGCCTCGTGAGGAAGGGAGATCAGCGGAGGCAGAGAAACAATCAGGAGCTCCGTGATCTATACAAGGCTCCAGATATTGTCACCTGCATCAAGAAGAGTTGAATTAGGTTTATGGGAAATTTACAGAGGATGGAAGAGTGGCGTATCCCGAAGGAGCTTCTAGTGGGACACTCTGGTGGAGGATGAAGAAGACGACATCCCAGATTTCGGTGGCTGGAAAATGTGGAGGACACTTGGAGTCCGAAGGTGGAGAAGAGCAGTTTTGGACTGAGTCAAATGGCGGAGAATCGTGGAAGAGGCCAGGGTTCTGCAAGGACCATTGTGCAATTGAAAGAAGAAAGAAGATTACTGCTGATATTTCTGGGAATTCTTTTCATAGTTCATATTTATTTCTGTTATATTACGACTAAGAATGAGAGATCTTTAATTATTTCTAATAAACAAAATTAAATTTTCTTTGTTGTAACATTCCAGGCATATACTTAACATAAATATGTAATTTTAGTGTACATTGAGTTATGCTGCACTCAATGAGTTCACATAGTTACACAAACGTGTTTATTAGCTTATTACACGTGAACAGAAAGGATTTAAAGCCGTATAATGAACCATTTTCAAGATAACATGGGGTTTGATCAACAGTTGAGTGTTTGATAATTGACTAAGGTTATTACTAATTAAGACTTACCCAATACTCGGGCAAATTATATACTTAAGAGAGGTACAAAGTATCCCTGAAACATACAAATAAAAATAATAAAGAATAATAATGTAAATTGAGAGTGATTATTTGTTAAATTGGACCTAAGGGCTAATTAACTATCCCTAATGGGAGAGTTTTCACACAGTTACAGTAGTTCTGTACTATCTGTTACTTAGTTATAAATTTTTATTATTTAAATATTCTTTATAAGTAGTTCTCTCTCTTATATATATTATGATTATTTTATGTTATATTTATATAGTTAAAATTAATATATTTTGTACTCCGTAGGTCTTCACCCAAGAACCAAAATTCCTAGAACATAGAGCTCAGCATGCTGAAGAAACTGATGCTGTTATAGAGGTAATAAACAACATAATGATGTATTCTAATGTTTTTAAAAATTATTAGAAAGAACTTTTTTTTTTTTTTGTTTTACATTATCAAAAGTGCATAAATTCCATTATTATATTTGTAAAGAAAAGCTCTCATAACTATACTTCAGAAGTAAACCATTATTATTCAATTTAGTTGATTTTTATTTTATTATCATATTTGTATTGTTCTGTATAAACCATATGAGTATAAGCATTGTAAATAAACTAATAGGGTAATAACTTATGTAATATTCAAATATAAATATTGATCACCATTCTTAAGCAATACATTGCGGTCTGCAACTTCATTTTGCTCCCCTGTCAAAATTTGAAAATCACTAGCAACTATATAACACTAATTAGAGATATTTAAAACTTTTTATAGATTTACCAAAATTTATATACTAGGTACCCTTCTCCATCCCATCACTTCCAATATCAATTCTCTCTCAGTTAAACTTAGCTAATTCCTACTACCTTCTTTATAAATCCTTAGTCCCAACAACCTATATGATTTACGCACTTCCTTCCACCTCCGTGAACAATTAATTCTCTTTGCCATTCTAGACCACATTATTCTTACCTCCTTTGATGCCAAAATTTTATTCATTAACATATCCATAAACAATGCATTAAGTATAATTGACAACAATCAGTCTATCATTGAACCCCATATCTCACTTAACCGTTCCTCATATCTCGAATCCCTCCATCTTTGTTGTAAATCAGACTAACTCTTCTTCCAAGGGCAATTCTTTAACCAAATTTTCAGACTAACCATAGGCAACCACCTCCTTCCTGACCTCTCGAACATTGTTCTTAATGAACTACTTGACTCCATTATCCCTTTTTTCTCAGACAATATCATCATTATCCGAAAAACATGTAGATGATCTCCTAGTTCTCAATCCATATAAAATTCTCGATATCCTATTAACCTTCAATTCATAACACCACCTCCTCAACTTTACAGTAGAACATGAAATGAATAATTCTCTCTCTTTTCTTGATCTTCTCATCTTAAGGAATCCTAACAACACTGTATATCCACGGCCTGGTACACTTAACCAACTTACACAGGCAGACTTCTGAACTTCCATTCAAACATCCCTATCACCAAAAAATTAATGTGGCTAAAAATCTCATCTATCAAAGTCTCTTCCTCTCTAATTTTCATTTTCATGAAACCAATATTTATAATATAAAAAAGGTTATTTTATCTAATAATTTTCCTCCTAATATCATCACCAAAGTTATCAAAGACCACAAAAATCGCTCCTCCTCAATATCGACCTCCATTGTTTCTCCACAACCTATTTTGACTTCTATATACAGATCTCCTTTAGGTTCTATCCCTTACCTTTCTGACAACATAAATTAGATTTTAGGACCTAATTTATTTTTAACCATTACAAATGATTCATCTCTGAAAGCCTCTACGTCAGCTTAAATAACATCAAATTAATCTAAAAACAGACAAACAAAATTTATTCCTCGCCTATTCCCAAATTCTGAATCTTATTAAAACTTACATAGTCCATATTAGCTCTTTGCTATCCTCAATATTCTTCCTCCCAGTAACCCCATCCATTTTTTATATCAGATCGTCTCTTTCTTTATTTTATTTTATTTTTTTCATCCTATCTCATCCAATTTTACTAGTTAACTTATCATTCCTTCAATTTCATTCAAAGTTATCATTATACGTATTCATATTTTTATTTTTTTTTTGTGACTACTCCTTATATAAGTCTTGACAACTTTCTCAGCTTCCTTTATTTTCATTCATTTTTTTCTTCTTTAATCTCATATAAATTTTATGCTAATTTCATTAATACTTCACTATTATTTAATATTTATTGAAACATATTTATTTTCTCTGCACTGTACTATTCAAATGTTCTATTTCCACACCCATTCAGTTATAAATTTATATTGCATGCGCATGAAATATTATCTATACTCAACCTCTCAACCATAATATGCGTCTCTGTGCTCTAGTTCACGTATTTCTGTTAACTGTTGCAGAGTTTGCTTAGTAGGTTCCACTGTTTTTCTTCCTTTTACTGTCTCTCTTATGGCACCTTTTGTGAGAATAGGTTAGTCTTCCGATTCATCTTTTATTTTCGTATTTGGTTTATATTGTTGCATTTACTCAATCTATCTTATTTTTTAATTTAGATAATTTTAACTTTGCAATTCCCTTATATGTTTTGATAGATTTCACTGCACCTTTATTTTTCTAGTTATTTCTATTATTTACTTTTTATAAATTTGTATTATTTTTCTCTGTTTTACATTTTTATTCTATGTTTATCTCAGTTCCTCTTAACATGTTAAGACATCAACTTATAGCATCTACGTCACCCTATTTATCTTATGTTTAACACACGATTTTTATCTCTTAATATTCCATTACATTTCTTTGTTATTTCATTTTTCATTTCTTTGTTAATTTTATTATGTTGTTACCGTTATCTTATTGTTTATTTCATAAGTTCCTAACTCTGTTACTATTATTATTTATTTCATAAGTTCCTGACTCTGTTACCGTTATTTTATAAATCAACCATTAATTAAATTTAATTTTACATATCAGACTGTTATTTAATATTTCATTTTTCATTACTTTATTAATTTCATTAATTTGTTACTGTTATTTTATTATTATCTACTTCACCACTTTATCACCTTTTTTTTTTTTATAACTTCCTATGTTCCATCATTTCATTAGTCTCTAAATTTGTTACCGTTATTTTATATATCTTAACTTTGCTTCCACTACTTTCTATTCCCAACTTTGTTAGTGTAATTTTATACTGCCTTTATTTATACATCATACATTTGCCTTGCCACATATTTATTAATGTTAAGTTTAATCTACTTACATGTTATTAGGCTATAGATTTTACCTAGATATTATTACTTTTATCGTCTACTAGTTTCTCATATTTGTGTTATATTGCCTTTTCTTAGCCCTGATGAAGGCCTAAAACTTGGGCTGAAATGTCAGCAAAAATAAAAATAAATATAGATTGTACGTTATTTTATTTTAAAAAACTGGAGTTACATCTTCGTCAAGATTTAATATTTTTTTTTTGGATGGTTGATTATATTTGTGATTTTAATTTCCAGTCTTCCCCTTCGAAGCTGTCAATAAAAAAAGAAGTATGTGATAAGAAATCTGGTGATCATGAATGTGACTATTGTGATAAAAAGTTTAGACATCTTTCGTCCCTCTCATACCACAAGGTATTTGCTTAGTTAAGATTGGTAATTTTTTATTGCTTGGTGTTATTCACTAATAACTATTCTATCTTTTTTTATTACTTATCACTTAATCACAAACACCTGTTTTTTACTAAAATTTTCTATTTATCTTACATGATTATTTGTCCTTCCTTTGAAATCTTTCCAATATTAAAATCATCATAATCTTCCAAAGCTACTATTTTTCAATTCCTTAATATTTCTCTTATACACAAATTCTATAGTTTTGATGAACCCTTCTTCTTTCTCCATTCAATCCTCTCCTCTATTACTTTTATTTTCAGAGTACCGATACACCATTATCTTCTTTTTTTCTAATAACACCTCTGTATTTTCTTCCCATATAGATCTTTAAATTTCCTATAATTTCTTCACATTCACATTTGTTTAACCTTGAAAACTGGTTCAACTCATAGATGATAAAAAGAAACATAAATGGTAATAATCTTTCTGATGAAAGCAACATACACCCATGATATTAATTGTGATTTTTTCAATTACTTGTTTTAACTACATAACCATATAAAAGACACACTTGAAATTTTTATACGAATCTTGATAAATACAAATTTTGGAAACAATGTTATTTTTTTTTTACTATGGATCTCCGGACACCTCTTAAATGAAGCTACCTATCTATAAATCTTGATTTTATAACTTTTGTCTTGCTGGTTAGCTGTAAATTTCTCTACTTATATTTCAACAGTATCAAAGAGAAAGGTATAGGTCACTCTATACCTTTATTTATTTATTTGTACTCTATTAGTTTTTTTAGTAATAAATGATCTTTCTTTTATCTTATGCTAGATCTTATTAATTTACCATTTTAATGTATAAAGGAGACAGAACATAATGACGGAAGGAGATACGTTTGTAGTAAATGTGATAGAAGTTTTAAGCACCGACAGCTTCTTAGGAGACATCAGTTAGTTCACAGTTCTGTCAGGTAAAACATTGTCATACTCATAGTCATTGATTAGCATTTAAAATACTATATAATATATAAATTTTCTAAGTTATGGAGTTATAAAATTGTTTTATAGTGCGAAGCTGTGATGACCTTTTTTTATTTAGAATGTACAACTGCGAGGAATGTGGGGCTTGCTTTAAAACTAAAGGAAATTTGATGAATCATAACATCATACATACAGGGATGAAAAAATACTTTTGTGAAATATGTGGGCAATTATTTGCTCATCGTACATCTCTCAACCTCCATACCAGGTGGCATTCTGGAGAGAAACCATTTGAATGCCATGTATGCAATAAACGCTTCACACAAAAGGGAAACCTTCAGGAACACATCCGTATTCATACAGGTATGGTTAGCCATTTTCATGTTGCAAATCTTGAACTAGAATTAAAAAAAAAACATAATTTTCATAACTCTCTAATTTAGATCCTTTTATTTTCTAAGTTATTTTTTTAAAAATCGTATCTATCATGCATCTAGTGTAAGAAGTATGGTTATGAATGCTGAACTAGCCATAGCCATTTGTGATCTTATTTCTATATCCTAAATGAGGTTTTTATTCAATGTTCTATTGTCCTCTATTTTTAAGAAACTTTCATTCTTCTTAACTACTGGCACATACATATACTTTTTGGAATGAGATTTAAGTTCCATCTAATTGTCTTGATTATTTGTGTCTTGAAGAACAATAAGAATTTAGAGAAAACCAATCTCAAAAAGAGAGTCACTGAAGTGGACAATCTTTATGAATAAAAATGTCAATGTTCATTTGTTACTAACTGCTAATCTCCAACAGTTCTTTGCTGATTGCTTTGATATTTTGACATAAAATTGCATTTGGATTCAGGAATGTTTATGTATGTATATATATTTATATATATATATATATATATATATATATATATATATATATATATATATATATATATATATATATATATATATATATGACAGATGCTTCTAGCCATTCATTTCAAAATATGTGTGCCGCTAGTTTTAAGAACGATAGCTGCAACAATTTTACTGAAACTTGTCTAAATTCTTCTCTGTGAGACCCAAAATTCTTTAAATTTATTTATATGACATACTTTCCCAAATGAACCTGAAAAAAAGTTGTGATGAATTTAGAATTTAAAAAAAAAAAAAAAAAAAAAATAAAAAAAAAAATAAAAATTATTTGTGAGTAACTCAAAAAGTACAAAATTTTGTGTTCACTAATTATTTGAAAGCTTCCTCAATTTCCTACAAAATGAAAAAAAATAAATAAAAATTATCGAAATTGGACGAATCATAAATGGTATGTCAATCTGAAGCATTGAAATGGTATCATCAAATATTTTTTAGAGTTTACGAGGAAGGACTGTGGTGGGAAGGGTGAGTAGGGAATCCTGTTCTTTTTAAGGAAACTCCATCTGTGTCAGTGTGCCAGTGTGAGCGCATTTTACATAATGTATTTTACGCGCATCTGTACTGTGATCACTTTTTTGATTAAAACTACTTTTTCCGTTTTGGTGAATACGTGAGATGGCTGACTGCTGGTAGCAATGAACGATTGTGGAATTTTGGTTTCTGTTAAGGAAAATGCTTGTAGAAACTATTGTGAATTTTAAGACAACTTATGGAGCTGATGCTCTCAGCAAAACAAGTGTTTACAAGTGGTTTTCATGTTTCAAGAATGGAGATTTGACTAAAAAAGATATGACACCGATTGTTCATCCCTCTTTGCACCAGATATGCCCCTTTGACTTTTTATTGTTCCCTAAACTCAAAAGAGACATGAGGGAAAATGTTTTGAGACTAGAGGAGATAAAACAAAAATCACTGGAAGAGCTAAAAGATATCCCAATAAGTGAACTTTAAAGTTTTAAACAATACACAAATGATTGGACAAGTTCGTTACAGTCAATGAAAATTACTTTGAAGGTGATCAAAAATAGGTTAAAACTCTTGATAAATACAAAAATTAAGACAAAATTCTTGTTTTGTTTTTTTGGTGAATTTTCGAGGTATAACCAAACCTATTCCTAGGCCAAAATTCATTCCTCGAATCTGCCGAAAAATAAATTTTGACATATCCAGGTGGATTGGAACCGGTGTCACTAGACTCAAGAATGTTAAAGTGGGCAGCGGTTTTATAAAATTGGCCACTATAGCCTCTAGGATATGAAATATAATAGATTATTATTCTGTGAAAATATTGTGTTCAAATTGTTGGTACTTGTATCACTTGGTCTCTGCATGCCTCATACAACATAAAATTACTCATAGAGAACTCCTGTGCCAAGACAGGTCAGGATTATCACCGAAGTTCAAAGTCTCCATAAATGAGCAGTGATTGTGGATTGAGATATATTATATTTAATATATTATGCAGTGAGATGTGTACTAGATTGACGTCTGGCAATAGCCAAAAATATTATTTAGCAATACAAAGTACCCTTACAAGGTCATCCACAAGAACAGCTGGATAAGCCTTAAAGGAACAGAAAAGCCAAATTAATCAGGACTAAGTAGAAAGAATAAGGAAAAAGAGGAAATATGAGTTGAGTTCCCAACTGAGCTGAAGAATATATTTGAATTCTCGATCTTAGAGGCTTTGTGATTGATCTAATTTCTAAAAAAAAAAATGAAGGTTGAAAATATATTCATCTTCTATGTCAACATCAGAACAGAAAATGTAAGAAGTGAGAAACTTGCAAATACAAAGAAAATATGCTAACTGATGTTCTACAAATAAGAAACTGAGCATCTGAAAAGAACATTTCCAGTAACTTCTCAATCATGGGAAGACCATGAAAGAAGAAGGTATCAACCAATAAGAGGTTGAACATCCAGTTTTTCTAGATGTAGAAAGAGTAACTATCTGTTGGCTTAAAAAAAGAAGAAATCCAGTGAAGGAGAGGTTACCATCTATTAGCTATTTAAATATTGTATTATAAGTTACATAAGATTATATTATAGTTACAAATATTCATCATTTTAATTAATATCATATTATAACGGCAATTATTATTTATTAATAGGAGAAAAACCATTTAAATGTGATATTTGTAACCGGAAATTCACAACATCTTCACAGTGCAAGCTTCACCTAAAAAGGCACTCAGGAGAGCGCCCTTGGTTTTGCGTTATGTGTGGAAAATCATTTCTTAATAAAGCAACATGGCGGTGTCATATGCGAAGGTGATCAATTGTTTTTAGTAATTTTTAATTTCATATTTTATTATTACTATTTATTTTTTTGTGAATGTAATTTTACTCATTTGAGTTATAATAATCAATTTTTCTGCTTTATTAGGCATAAAGGTGAAAAACCATTTGATTGTAAATATTGTGATAGACATTTTCCTGAAGTTTGGGCCCTTAAGAAGCATATGCGAACTCATACTGGAGAGAAACCTTACAGGTATGTTCAATATTTCCTATATCCTACTGACAAAACCAGTCTTAAATTAAAAGAAAACTCATAATTTTCCTGATAAAGTCATGAGTAAGGTCTTGTCTAATTCCTTGCAAACATGTTTTGTCTAAGCTTTAGTTGTCTACTCTTGCCTATTGGTGATTATTTACCCTTTCGTAAATTAGCAAATAATGTCAAATGAATTTTTAGTATCACATGATTTGAATTTGTATGGGCAAACATTTTTATTTTGCTGTGGTATACTTTAATTATCAGTTTTATTTACAAAATGGAGAGTATTGGGTATAACAATTGGAAATAATATAATGTTATTAGAAAGAATAACAACCTAAATAAAGGTGTTAGTATGCATCCAAGCATCTATTAGTCTCATAGAAATATTATCAAATATGGATAATTAACTTTTTACCTCAAAACATTATATAAGCTATTCATAAAATGAAAATTGCTCACTTCTTCACTGTAATCTGCAAATATGTTTTACAATCAACAGGATGTCCATTAATTTAAAAAAAAAATTAGTTTCCACTAAAACAATATTTTCTCTTTAACTTTAAAGAGAAACGGCTATCCTTCAATAAAATCAATGTCTCGAGTAAACCAAGTATTTATTTTCTTTTTCCTGTTATATTTAATTTAGTTTTGTTTTCTTACTACCGACGATAGAGAAGCTTTTTATCCATGTGTTTGAATTCAGAATCAATAATTTTTACTCACCTTTATGTTTAACATTTAAGAGGTCAATTTAGATTTTATGTCTGTTTGTTGTCAAATCCATGTGGAGGACATATCATTTATCACCATTAATCAGATTTTCATGAAATTTTCAGAGATTGTGCAAATTGGTACCTAAATGGTGCTATATCAATTTATAGCCAATTGTTTCACTTAAACAGGCATAAATAAATTTTCTCAGACTTGTCTATTTTTAAAAATAACTCATTTAATTTGGCTCAAAGCTGGAGATCGGTGAAAAAATAATGCTGTTTAAATTTGTTCGAATTCCATTCTCTAATTCTCTTATATATGCACAAACGTATTTTACTTGACACGCCTCTATCTCAAAAATCGCTGTTTGATTGTATAGAAGTTAGGTATTGCTGTTTGATTTGTCCCACATTTGTTTGGAAGTTAGGCATTGATTAACAATTAATCAAGTTGGTATCAGCATCAATTTTTTTTTTTATAGTGTTGGCTCAAGGCACTTTGACCCCTGTAGGGTCCATTGTGCGCCAATTCAGTTATTCGTTTATTATCAAAACATTATTTTTGTTGCTTCCGCATATCTTAGTAGGCTGGTTGGATTGACCGTCTCATATCTACTGGGGAGATCCGTTCGTTCCTCCCCAAATAGTTCCAGTCTCAGCCATGTGAATCTATCACATCTACACACAATGTGAAAGGATGTTTCATTCTCCTCCTGACAGAATCTGCATAGCGGATTCGTCGTTACTCAGAGATTGAACATATGGTAATTTAGCTTACAGTGACCTGTACAGATTGCTGTAAGCTTTTTAAGAGCTGCTCTGTCCATACTCAGTAGCAGTTTGCTTCTTTTTTCACATGGACCTTTAAAGAACAGCTCCGAATGTCGCTGGTATCAGCATCAAATCCTTTCCTTTAAAAATTTTTTTCTACTTTCGGTTGTGTATATGTATTGTTCATAATACACCTATGTTTTTAAAACGGCTGGTTTAATACGATCCAAAGTTGACATATATTTGGAGAATAACTAATGGTCTAGTTTCAACTTTATCAAATTCCCTATAAAAATTAAAATTAACGTTACAAATTGTTAATAATATATATTTTACTGAAACATTCATAATTTCTCATCGGTGCATTATTTTTCAGATGTTCTATTTGTCAAAAGGCATTTTCAGATTGCTCAAATTTAGCCAAACACAAAAAGTCACATTTCAAAGGTGAGAGTGGTGGAGAAAATGGAGAAATGAAACATGTAGTATATGTGAGTTACACTGATCCACTGAACCCTAGCTCAGAGGTAATAAAATGTCTAAGCATTGCATTTAGACTAAATATGAGTAATTAATAGATTTATTTTTAAGAAATGACTTATATCTCTACTTTTATAACTAAATGCTGATTAGATTCAAATTTATATTTTCACTTCATATAGAAATCATTTGGGTTAAGAAAGCTTGGTCTCTAGATGAAAGTCAAAATAGCATATAAAAAGTATGTTTATCAATCTTAAAAAGTATGTTTATTAATCTTAAAAAGTATGTTTTGTCATAAAAGAAAAAAAAGGAATTAAGTTGTATAAATCTTGAATTAATATTGTAATAAAGTTTCTATTGTTGATTATTCAATTTTTTAACCATATGTGTTTGTTAATAGGATATTACACACTGGAATATATGTAAGGGAAGAAAATATCGATACATATTGAATCGATACTTTTCAAAAACATTTACTTAATAATTTGATGTATCAAAAATAAACTATATTTTTAATCTATGAAAAGAGTAGAGAAATAGTGAATATTGATAAACATTAATTTTTCACCAAAAATACTAAAACAACTCTAAATCTTTTATACATCAAATACAGTTAAAAAAAGGAAACAATTTTCTAAGTTCACTAATGAAAATTCATGTAAGTTCCTAGTGATTTAATGTTATGAAATGTCACTTAATGACTTTTTGCAACTTAATAATAATATAAAATAATAAAATTAACAATTACAATTAGAACTTTTTTACAAAACAATCAAATATAATAAAACCTAATTTAAAATTTTACAATTTAAAATCCAATCCTAATAAATTATTTAATAAAATGATAATCACCTAACTTATGGTGCCCCTCCTCTCCTGCTTGTCAAATGAGGACTAAAAATAAAAATAAAACTATTGGCCATGTGGGCTGTTCCTTCCACCACCTCTTGTTCTCATTAGCTGCCACTAATTTTATGAGGACAGAATTCTCAAACGGACTACTTTGCACATTCAGGCATATTACGTCATTTTTTATAATTCTTTTCTTAATTTCTAATTTTTCAAAAAAGTCCATTCCTTTTCCTTTTTAAATGGTATGCAACATTTTTATCTTATTACTTTTTGTAGGTCTGAACAATTTAAAAAGTGACCCTTAAAGTGTGATGCATGGGCCTGATCCAGAGAGTCATTTGTTATAATCCAGGGAGTTATACAGAAAAATTGTGGCCCTTAAACGTTTTACAAGTTTAAAAAGCTTGGTCTCCAGAACTAAAGATCGAGTTGACCCTTTAAATAAGAGTGTGGTCTACTCGATAGAATGTTCATGTTCTGCCGTTTATATCGAGCAGACAGGAAGAAAACTGAAAAGCCAAATTAAAGAATACCTCCCTGGGTCAGCCCATACATCACAATTTTTTAAAAAATTGTTTACACCCCCAAAAAAGTAATAAGGTAAAACTATTGCATACCATTTCAAAAGGGAAAAGAATAGAATTTTTTGAAAAATTAGAAATTAAGAAAAGAATTATCAAAAATCACGTGATATGCCTGTACAAAGTACTTTGTACTGTATGAATGTACAAAGTACTCAATTTGAGGATTCTGTCCTCATAAAATTAATGGCAGCTAATGAGAACAAGACGTGGGGTAGGGAAAGTCCATCTGATCAGTAGTTTTATTTTTATTTTTAGTCCTTATTTGACAAGCAGGAGAGGAGGAACACTATCAGTGGGGTGATTACCATTTTATTAAATAATTTATTAAGATTGGGTTTTAAATTTTAAATTAGGTTTTATTATTATTTGATTGTTTTGTAAAAAAATTGTTATTGTTCAATTCAGTGCTATCAAAAATTTTTTGAATACTTGTTATTTTTATAACTTTGGAATCGGCAGTTGATATAAATAGTTTGTTTTTTTTTACAATTATTCAAATATATTTTTCAGGTTTCAGAAAAATTTGTTGTTGAAAACAAAGATACGGATGAAGAGGTATTGATGCAAGTCATGGATGAGATGGGGAATCCGTTAAAGTTTACTCTTCAAGATGGTACACAGCTACAGGTATTTGCCTTCTTTGAAATAAGTAATGTTTCATTCCCATATAAAAATAATAATAAATTATTATTATTGTTACATTATATATTATATTCAAGCAGGAGAGTTTGACTTTAAAATTGAAATAATATTTACTTGTCAAACCATCACTATGAACATTACTGCTTAAATATGTCATAATTAAAGAAAATAAATGATGTTACACAGGGTTAGAGACCATCATGGTTTTAAGATACCAAGAGTTTGGGTTGAAGATAGCAAGGATCTCATAGTGCCTCGTTTAGAATGGTATTGACTTGATTTCCACCCGGGTTATATGTATTTCATTTTATTTCTAAGAAATAAATCTTGGCATTCCCACTATGGTTAGTATATAGCAAGAGCCCGCTAGATATCTACCAGAGATTGGCAAAAAGACCCACTTGCCAGACTAATTTCCTCCAATACCAGTATCATTGCACTACACAATTTTTTTTACTAATCTTAAATTCTAAAAATAAACATATGCTATTCAAATATTTTTAAAAGTGTATTTATGATGGTCCCAATAAACGGTTTTAAATTATTTTAAAAAATTTGCTTGATTTTTTCCCATGCTTGTACCCAATTTATATTAATCACCTTTGACATGAACTTAACTTATACATGATATGATGTGAACCAATTCAGTATTTTAAGCTTAGATTTTTTTAAAGCCTTGATGTGATTTAAACGAGTAATTTGAATTATGAAACTTTAAAATCGTTCGAGCCATTCTTTCAGAGTACATGCCTTCAGATGGACGTATTGAATACATTTAAAATTATAATTTATCAATATTTTGAACTCTAACTGCATCAAAATACCCATATGGTTTCCCTAAATAATTTGAGCCATCAAATTTAAAAGTTAATTGGTTGAATGATTCGCTCAAAAAATTGTTATCTACCTACAATATTTTAGCAGTGTAACTCACTTCTATAATTCATTAAAAAATTGCTCAATCAATTCAACTTCTATAATTCAACCAAAAATGTTTATAACCAATTGTCATAAATAATGGAATTACTGTTATATTATTGCTTATATAAACTTTTACGTTTTCTTAAAGAAAATTATAATACATAATATTTTCTTTTGAACACTGTAGCAAACCAAATTGATATAATATAATTAGTTTCTGCAATTTTTTTTTTAACTTAACACAACAATCTAACACTTGTTTAGCATAAGGTCACCACCCTTGTTTGACAATCTAATATAACCATTTATATGTAATGAAATAAAAAATATGGTACTTTTTGTCTAGAGGGTCGGACTAAAACCTCACTTCTTATCTATCTTATCTAACATCACATCACATAACCTCCCTCTTCTTATCCTGCCAAACCTTTGAATTATTGCATTGTTTAGTTTTCAGTTATTCCCTTATTACGTTCACTTATTAAATTCTTTACTTTTGGCCCGTTTGTGTTTATTTTTTATTATTTTTAGTTTTTGGCCCGTTTGTGTTTATTTTACATTTTTTTTTAGTTTGTGGCCCCTTTGTGTTTATTTTTCCTTTTTATTCCTTTGATTTTCGTCATATTACGGATCTTCTTTGTGACCGCCTTCAGAAGAACAGGCGAACAGAAGAATGAAGTTAACCAGGAAGGCCAAATGGAGATGCTTTCGTAGGACTTATGACACAAAACTTTCAATAAGGATAGGAACATAGTTGGAGGGCTCGAGGATTTCGTTTTTAAAAGCTTTAAAATTGATTTATGTGTGGTCCCATAGCTTGACAACGATGAAGTGGGGCAAAGAGCAACTGAAACTATCCTACGGAGCTATGGTAACATGGAACAATGTCTAAGAGAGGTTTGTGCCCATGACATGTTACACAGGCCAAGGAAAAAAATTGGAGGACCTGGCAAAGTGGTTGAAGTAGACGAAAGTCTTTTTCCTAAACGAAAAAATCATGTGGGGAGAGTTTTACCTCAGCAGTGGATGTTTGGGGGAGTTTGCCGAGAAACAGATGAATGTTTTATCTTTTTATAAAACAGATTTTATGTTTTATATTTTTTCTTTTCTGTGTTTAAATGTTATTTTAAATGTTTTTTTATTAATTCATTTTGATGTTTTATATGTTTATATCTTCTTAAATTTTATTATTTCATTAATATATGTGTCGTCAAATAAAAGTATTTTTGTTGTTATTACATTTCTTTTTGTATCTCTTAACACTTTCAATAATACAATAATACAAAGATATAAAGTAGGAGAAGGCTTATCACTGGGTTATGGCAGTTATCAGTGTTCAAGTTATAAACATTGGTAGATAACAGTCAGTAGCGTCCTCCTAGACAAAAAGTACCAAAAATATTTTGTCAATTCTTATTTTATAAATAAATTTATTTGTTATAGCAGTTAATGTATTATTTTGCTATTTACAAATAAAATTTTATAGGTGACAACCCGTGATGGAAGATCTCTTGAAGTTAGGACTGGTGATGGTCAAACTATTCCTGTTGAACTGACCACCGACAGTGGTGAACCCATTTTACCAGAACTAACACCTGTTATACTTCCAACGGTGGTATGTTTTTGGAAATTATATTAGTAGTTTGAGATTGAGCTATTGATTGATACATTTACATTTATTTTTTTAAATTTACAGGCTGATTCCTTAGTTGACATCGGGAGTATAGAGCTTGTCACAACAGAAGATGACCAAACAACTACTTTAACCATTCCTCAAGATTTCCTACAAATAACCTAGTCATTCATATTTTTTTAATTTATGCTTTAAAAATTTATATTCTAAAATATTAAAATTTATATATTTTAAAAAATACATTTAAATAGATCTTTATATATTTTTACTTTGTTTGTACATAAATAAATTCTTTATACTTTTGTTATTAAGTTTTTTGTTTATTTTTTTAAACCATTACTGTGGTAGGATGGACAGTACATAAATTTACTGTTAATAGTGGTTAAATAGTTGGCTGTCACGAATAATGAGGAGAAGAATAGTTGGGGTGATCACTCAAATAAGAAGGCAAAATAAATGATAATATTTATTTTGTCATTTGCCGACGTTTCGACCTGAAGTCCAGGCCATCATCAGGGCTGAGAAAAGAACCAGATAACAAGGTATGAGAAACATGAAAATTACAGTAAAATGCAGTTGTTAGAATAATGACAATAGTAAGAACAAGAGACAAATAATAATAGCAGGTACTAAGTGTGGAATGATGAAGTAAACATAGTCAAATGCTTATGTCACCTTTTTGACTATGTTTACCTTTGTACCTATTATTATTATTATTTTTCTCTTGTTCTATTGTCTCTTGTCTATTGTCATTATTCTAACAATTGCATTTTACTGGAATTTTTATGTTTCTCATTCCTTGTTATCTGGTTCTTTTCTTAGCCCTGATGATGGCCTGAACTTCAGGTCGAAACGTCAGCAAATGACAAAATAAATATTATCATTTATTTTGCCTTCTTATTTGACTGATCACCCCAACTATTCTCCTCAAAATTTACTGTTAGTTTATTGAAATTTAAAACTGTATTAAAAATACGAAAAATGTTATTTATGATTTATAAAACATTGTAATAGCTTGTAATGGAATTAACCTGTAATGGAATAGAACTTCAGAAACCCACAAATATGACAAACATTAACAAAAATGAATAACAGGATTTCAATCACGATGAAGTTCTAAATTTTTTTTTTTTCACCATTCAACTTTTTAACGACAGTGAACTCATATATGAGTCAAGAGGAAACTGGGCCGATGTGACGGTGGATTCATATATGAGTTAAGACGGGACCGTACCTCGGTGATGGTGGACTCACATATTAGTAAGGAGCTTGTTGCTCTTTCTCGTTATACGATGGGGTGCTCAGTGATGAATTCTACTTTTAAACTATCTCGCGGCCTTTCTATGAGGCAGTTGGTAATTTTTCTGCGGCTGGATATTATGGACATTTTGGAACAATGCCCTAAATAAAAAAGACTAAAAAAATGGTAAAATGGAAAGTATTCTGTTAAAAGTGCATGGAGAAGTGTCGGCTAATACTGTCCTTAAGGTCATTCTGCCCTTCCCGTTAAAGTTAAATAGACATGTAGTTAAGTAAAATTAATATGGATATAAAAGCAGTTCTGGATGAATTACAAATGACAGATTTATATTTTTAAATGTTGACATAGATAACTTCTATCAATATTTCATAATTTAGAAGAACTTCTACTATTAGACGCTCACACAAAGCATAGAATAACAGTTCTTTTTTTTTTTTGTTGGCAATCTCTGGGATCGGAAAAAAGATCCACAAGACTCTAAGACCCTACTTGCTTGACTAGTTTCCCCCATCAGTAACCTAAGTTACGAGTACTGGACATTCTTTGAGAACTTCAATATTCTGATCCAAATAAGATATTGAATGGTTAAATATTTTTTAAGTCTACCCTATTCGAAAATTCAAAGTGGCAGATTTAATACGATATTGATATTATAAAAAATTTAATTGTTAATTTGATAGACCCTTGCCTGACCAATAACCTTTCACCATTGGCCCATTTTTACTTGAGTTAGAGGTTAGTGAACAAAGATGGGTTCTTACCAGAAGAGAAGGTACTTATGCACTCTGTCTAATTTCTGGGAATATTGCAAGGAAAATTAAAGAGCACATATAAATGAAATCTTGCCTAAAATTTTGGATGTATGAACCATAATCAGTTTTCATGAAAAACTGATTCTTCTATTGACAAAATGTATTCATAACAGATAGTTGAAAAGTGTAATGTTATTTTATTAAAAATACCTGTGTTGTTACTAGACAAGGGCTCTGGGCGGACGTCAAATAGGTTTATATTTTTCTTATCCTACTGGGTTTGGTTATTAAATATAAGGATAGAAGGTTACTACAACTTTTCCTTTAATTTTAAGTGAAAAGGATGATTTAGGTGATGGCGGGATAAGATTTCATGAACTTAGTAAAAAGGGCTAGTGTTTCAATCCTGGCGGCAGCATAGACTTTATCTTCCCACAACTGTTGTATTCCCAGCAATGATAGACCTGAAACCTAATTCACTTCAAACGTACTGCTAAAATGTTTTCAGACTGAATTTGAACATAAATTCTTATTTCATAGATGTGGAATCAAGCTGGAGTTACTTTTTTTTGATCAGAGGGACTATACATATGGTATAGTAATTGTTTGGCTATATACACAATGTAATATACTATTGAAAGGTATTGGATCATATAGTATTATAATCTTTTTATTGGGTAGTAGATTTTTTTGATTTCATGCAATTGATCTAAATTAAATGAATATATGGGCCATTCTCCTACAAAGTGTCAAATGCTGTCTGAAAGGTTTTATATTAAATTTCTCACCAATAATCTTATATTCTTCCCGAGTTCAGTACACTGCACAAATACATGCAAAACAGCATACAACTCACTCACACTGACCCAAGGCTATTTACTCTACACTACCTAGGAAGGCGCCCGGATAGAGGAGCAAGTCAGGATGCTTCGAGGAGGCATCCTTCACCTGACTCGGAGGCTATTAGGCTGATAACTATTACCTTTTAAATCAAAATTATCTCGAAACCTCAAGAAAGAAAGAGACTGTCAAAAGGAAAAAAAATTTGCTCTCGTCACACGGACTTCACTATTGGATCAAGGAGATTTATTGGATATAGGATATTGTAGCAAGAAGATTTAGATAACTTATAATTGACTTCGAACCAGTGAACCCACGACTATGCATTGTCAGAGTTAGAGGAAAAATCTTTAATTATTCAGTCTTCAGCTGCCTTGCCCCCACTAAAGCATTAGATGAACAAGACAAGGAGGATTTTTATGAAGAAGAAGTTCAAGAAGCAATAGATGAACTTAAGGCTAACAAAGCCCCAAGCTCTGATGCACTGTCTTCTGAATTATCCAAGGAAAATGGAGAAGAGCTCACAAAGCTGTAACATAACCTCCTAGTTTTGATTTGGACTGAGGAAGTAATACCAAAAGATTGGAATAAAACAATTCTCCGTCCTATACACAAGAAAGGGAATTTGCTTGATTGCTAAAACTACCAAGGTATTTCGCTGTAACCATGTGCCTATAAAATCTCCAACATACTTTACAGGCGCCTCTTGCCACATGTTTAAAAAGTCTTGGAGGGATATCAATGTGGTTTTCACCAGGAGAAGTCCACAATCGATCAGATATTCTCCTTAGGCATTAGTATGGAGAGTAGCCCAGAGTATCAGTTATTTAGACACCACTTTTTTGTGGATTTCCAGTCAGCCTAAGACAGTGTTCTGCGTGAACCTCTGTACCAGACCATACAAATTTTTAATACCTCAACAAAACTCATACGCCTGATAAAACTGACTATGGAAAAAATTGAAAATGTGGTGTGTATTCAAGGCGATCTCTCTCAAGGAATTTGGAGGACAGCAGCACTTAACCAAATTAACTGGCGAAAGCTGCTTGAGGAGGCCAGGACCCAGCAATGGGTTGTAGAGCTGATTGATAATGAATCTTATATTCAAAAGTAATATCTCAATAAATTATTCAAATTTATCTACTTCTAGCATTGGTTAATAATTTCATTAAATAACATGAAATTTAGTAAAAATAAGTACTACCCCTACCTTTGAGAATATTCACATTACTATCAGACTTTATAAAGTTCCATTAAGTTTGTTAAACTAGCAGTGCCATTTAGTTAACTGTTCATGATTGAGAAAATAACCTCCTGTTTTTGGCTGAGTAAAGGTAGAAACAGAAGAAATGTGTTTATGGAAGTTTAGTCATTTGTTAACCTCATCAGTTTGTATAATTTTTGTTGGTTATGTTATCTCCTAATGCTCTGTTATCTTTTCCACCGATTGCGGGTTTAAAAAATTAACAGATTATAAAAACCTGAAACTCCCTAAAACAATTCAGTCAAATCTTAGTTTTTGATCTACAAAAACATCTGTGAATCTGATACATATTTTTTTATTTTATTTCAATCTATCAGTAAAAAAAAATGGTCTATCAAACAGGTAAGATTTTTAAAAATTTAGTTTTTTTGATTCATTTATTTTAGAATTTGCTAAAATCTTAAATTGTTTGTATATAACAGTTAAAAAATACAAAAGTGATCAGTGAATAAAAGAAAAAAATCATGAGATTTATTATTTAAATGCAAGTCATTTGTTCATTCACTTTTAATTGCAAGTTAGATTACAGTGTTATGGAAGCTAGTATTTTAACATATCGCTACTGTTAGTGCAAAAGATCGTATGTAAAATTTGAGTGTTTAACAGGAGAGCATTAAAAGCAGATTATTTATTTACGAATTATGAAGTAAAATTTCATGTTTCATTTCTCTCTGCTATTTTCCATAGTGGTAGAATACTTACAGTAGTTGCAGGCCGCAAAATGTTACCCTTAAGTCATAAAGAAGTAACCAGTTTTTAATGCTCTCCCATAAAACACTCAATTTTTAAATAAAACTTTTGGCTCTAATAGTAGCGATATAATCAATTAGTTTATTGTAGGATATATCCTTCATTAAATATACCATAAAATTTCGTACTATAACTCAATAAACATTATTATTACCTGATTTTAAAAAAAGAGTAAGTTCCAATTGGGATTTCTATGTGTTTTAGTAGTTTCTTCTTTTGACCATAATAACGTTTTCACCACTGGATGTATATACCATTTTTTCTATTATTTTAACCTTCCTTTCTATATCAATTAAGTGGCACATACTTATATACCATTCATTACCCGAAATTTCCTTAATTATCTTTTTATGCTACTAAACACGCATATTCTTGTACACCTGACAACTAAAATTTAATAAAAACCAAGGTCCAAAGGTAATCAGTGATTTTTTTTGAGAATTTTATAATGACTTATAGTTTTTACATATATGTGTAAAATACATCATACATAAATTGCATATGAAATAAAATAAAGTATAGGATGGGAACAAATAAAATAATATATTTCTTATTAAAAGTAACTATGTTCACAACAATGTTTTATTTGAATTGGATATATTTACTGGACTGTTCCATTTCAAAAAATACAATATAAACAAATACAAACAAGATGTGTGAGGTCTTGTGAATTGATCAACACCAATTTTAGTAGCTACAGAAGACCTCACACAACATGAATGGGAGACTTGTAAATCCCAAGCAACATATACAAACAGGTGCAACTTATTTTACAAAAGAAATTTGAATGAAACAAGTTTATTGATTTAATATTTTGTGAACTAACCCAGTCATTTAATGAGTTATCAGAGTTCATTACAAAATTATATACATTTTTGCGTTCATAATACATCATTATGTCATGTAGTGAGCAAAAAGTCTTTTAAAGGAAACAACTTGTAACATTATTCATTGTATGTATTCAAACCTGAATAGAAATTAGAATTACATTAGGCAAGGGTGAGGTTCATCATAATAGGAGATTAAGTAATAATGACTTAACACATCTCCAAATAATTATATACAAAATTAGGCAATACAGTATGTATTCATTCAATTTTACTAGGCCATTACAAATATATTTTGTTCGTAATAAACAATGTTTATATAAAAGGTGACTTATAAATAATAACTTAATATGTGTTAATAAAATTTAGTAAAAATTAAAAGGAACTATCAAAATACCCTAATTTCCTCCATCATAATTTCTTTCAAAATTAAAAAAAAAACCTAATTACTTATTAAAAATAATTTTTGTGGAGGTAAGAACACTTTGTTTTCAAAAATTATACTTATAAATGAAAATTTGTTAACAATGACAGAGAAAACAAATAAAAAATACTGATGGGGTGTACAAAACAGCAGATATCTATGCACTATGATGAAGGATTAAAGTGCTACAGCACTAGGATAATCTGGTGTTAAGATTTTCAATTAATTAGGTGGGCCATTAAAAAAAAAAAAGCGTAACAATAATGATGCAATTAATTAATATTCAAAATTATTCAAGAAATAAAATTTGAGACTTTTCAAATTCTAATTCATTTCTGATTCCTTATTTGGTTGAATATCTAATTTTCATGTTTCACAATAACATTATTTCCTACTAAATTTATTTTTTGATTATCCATGCCTACTCATCTGCTTCTTTAAGATGGTGGATTGAGTTATTACTGTAAAATCACAAGGTGAATACAAATTTCAACAACTTTATAAAGAATTGCATACAAAAAAAAAAAAAGTTGAAATTCATAATGAGCAATAAAATAACAAGCAATGAATTTATATTTACAATTGCTCAAATTGTTTAACTAAAAATAAGAAGTTTCTATTTATTTAATAATCAAGGAATGTATAACTGTACAGTTATTATGTATTGTGCAACCATAACATAGTTTCAATATATTTTATTATATTCTTAACAAACAGTTCACTTTCAAATCTATTTTAAATAAGACAAATTCGCTTAGATATGTATGGAAGACCTAATTTAAAACCAAGAGTTTTGGTAAAAGTTATACAGTTTTACAAACTTTAATAATACACCAGGGTCTACAATTGGTCTTTCATTATATAAAGCAAAATCAAATTTGACAATTACGAAAGGTTTTGTTTCTAGAAATTATTACCAATAATATAACTCTAATAAATTTATTTATACAAATTTACATTAAAAAAAAAAAAAAAAAAAACTGATATGAACTTAACCCTTCGCCTGTCCTATACATTACATCGTGAAGTATACATACAAAGTTTAAAACAGTAGTAAAACTAAGGATACTTAGAAAAAGAACCTAATATTGGCCATCAGTGTGAAGGAATGTCAATCAATCACATTGCATATCAAATATGACAATATGATGATTGACTGTTAGTTGAAATATTGTTTATGCTTTATTGAAGTGAATATTAGATTTGCTATAAAATATAGCATTAATTATAACATTGAATATACAAATTTATTTTCATTGAAAAAAACAAAACAAAAAATTAAATTATAGATATATAAACCACTTAGGTCTTGAATACAGTATGATAATTAATACAAGATTATTATATTATACAATATGCAGGATTTTATTAAGTCAATTAATATATATACAGCACATTCTAATTATCCATGAAGAAATAAAGCCAACAATAGGGAATATAAAATCAGGTAAGAGTTTGGGAACAGTACACACCAAGATTCCAAAAAGAAGCAAAGGGTTAAGCCTTATTTTATCTAATTAAGAAACAAGCATGTTATAAAAAATAAATGACATATAATGTTAACAAAATTATAAAGCTTGGGAATATTTTAAAAATTAGGCATTGAAGCTCAGCTAACTAATTCCTCTAGATGGCGAGAGCTATCATTAAATAAAAAAAAAATTGTTTTTTCAAAATAATTTCTTTTGAAAGCAGGAGGGCATAATGGAGATGATTCTCTTACAACTAGAACTTAATTATTCAATAAAAAAATAGACAAAACTAAAGCAAAATATTAAAAATCAAATCACCTCAACATTATCTGTACAATTTGACAAACCTTTCTTAAAAAAAAAAAATATATATATATAAATATATATAATAATAAATAGTAATATATATATATATCACAAGAGAGAAAACATACTATACACTTAAAATGTGAAAATAAATATTTTGAATCTGCTGGCAGTGTTAATTAACTTGATAAGCCATTGTGACAATATTGGAAATTTATTTTTAATAACTAAATCATGTTGTTTGGTAATATAATTTTAGTTTTACAGGAATTGGTAATTTTCGGACCAATGTAAGAATACATATAATTTTACAACAAAAATACGTTTGCTAACACAATTCATAGGTTATCTGGGAATTCTTCTTCATTTTCACGATCTACAACTCGGAGTCACCTTGATCACTTGACTTATTTAATCATTGAATGCTATTAGGAATTTAATAAAAAAACAAAATCACGCCTACTTATTAAATAAATACTCACTTAAGTTCAACATTCATTAATAAATGTTTTTTTAATCAACAATTCTTTTTTTAGTATTTAGTACATCCTCTTGCAGTTTTAATATAGGCTAAAGTTATATATCAATAAAACTTTCACAATTATTAACAGAATCACTCTTTACATAATGAAATATACTTATAAATTTGAAAGTGCAGAGCGAATAGATGTTTGACCTTTTTTTTCCAAAGGTGCATTAATAACAGTTTTGTGAAGCAGATATGGAGGATACTTGTAAACAAAATAATAAATTTAGTTGAAATGAGATGTTTGTATGAAAACATTGATAAAATAAACAAATTCTAAAGAAGGATTGGCAAAATTGATTTCTTAACATGAATCAATACATGTTATTTCACACGGCTATGTTGTAAAAGCTTAAAATCTTAGAAAAAATAATAAACTTGATTAATTATACATCAATATCAAAAATAAGGACTTTATTAGTGGATGAACTCCTCTAACATTGGATTTCATGATAGAGGATCTATCTGTTACCAACTAAAGGTTTTCATTAGTGTTGGTGTTTAACGAAAAAATATTGTCTTCGTACACACTGTGTACAACATGGAGAATAATGATATCTACCAATAGCGTATCCAAATAAATTGAATAATCACAGAAAAACACTGTAACAATATATTTATGTAACGTGTTATATGTCTTAGAAAATATTTCTGATAAAAAATTCCCTTCGATCCAGTTTGTGTAATACTTTGAATTCATAGTTTAAATGAAGTAATTAGTGCGGCACTGCGCTTAGTCTTCAATGTCCACTACAAATATAAGTCTGAAAATTACCAAATAAGTCTTTTCTTCATTAGGCTGATACAATACAAGGAATTATTAACAAAGGAGATTCATAAAAATTAAGATAAAAACTTGACCATATTACTTTTAAATTATGTACAGAAATGTGTTATTATGTACAAGTGTCAGGTTCACCAAAAGTAATTCTCGGTTTGAGGAGCTCTCATTACACCGACTCCACCACCGAGTCGCCTGTAGTTCATTGCACCACATAGCCTCCACTGATTTTGCTCTGGGTCATATACTTCAATAGTTTTTAGGTAAGCAGTGCCATCAAATCCTCCTACAGCATACAATTGGCCATTTACTACTGCCAGCCCGACCTGTAAAATGAGTATATACTTACTAAAACAAGTCTACAGTAATTAATTAAATAAATATTAAGTGAGACAAACTATTAGGCATACATTTCTTTGTTTGAGAAGGCCTTAGGGAAAATAAGTTGTATCCTATTCTCAAAGATCTGTTCTCTAAACCAAAGCTGGATCACTGTTTCAGCTGTTCTTCTTCTACAATCTGATGTGGACCTAGGCCTCCTCAATGAGCCTTCACTAGGTGGCTTGCTTTTGGGCAGTCGCTCTACAATTTCAAAAGCCTAAAAGGATCGGAGCATCCTTAATAACTGTGTCTTTGCACCTTAGCCTTGGCCTTCCTCTTTCTCTCGACTGGTCCATGTACCCAAACAGTAGTTTTTTGGGAAATTTCTTCCTCAATCATTTTTGCTAAGTGGCCTGCATATCTCAGTGGACAACACTTTATAAAACAAATGACATTTATTTCACCAAAGAGTTCACATATTTCTCTGTTATAGTGCCTCCTCCACTAGTTCCCTCCCTTAATGGGTCCAAAAATATGGTGCATAATATTTCTTTCGAAGATAATGAACTCTTTCTCTTCCGAACTTGTCAGAGTTCATGTTTCTCAGATATAAATTAATAACGGTCATATAAATGCTTTTTAAATATTTCATTGGTCTGACAAGACAAAACCTTACTGCTACGGTGCTTTTCGAGGGCAAAATAGCAGCAATTTCCTACCAATAAGGAAGGCCAGTCTCAAGAGATATCTTATTTAAGCAACTAACTATTGAGGCCAAATATGTAAATCGGTTCACATTTTCAAATGTCTATAGCCAGGCTCCCTGATGAAATCATCCATTTCCTGGCCAGTTCTCATATATTTATTTTTTTCTTGATTTATAGTTAGCCCCATACTGGCAGCTTCTTGCATTGAGTTTAGAAAAGCATTTTTTAAGGCTTTCAAAGACCTACAATATTAGAATCATCCACATAGCCAAGCACCTGTACTATCTTATCATAAATGGTATTTGCGGTTCCTATCCCAGCTTTTATTATTACCCTCTCTCAGGCAAGATTAAAGAGTAAGCAAACTAGGGCTATGGCTCTAAATGTGTTGTACAAAAGAGTAGGAAACTATTTGCAAAAGCTCAGCTATATTTCCAGACTTTATGTTTTGGTCCCTCACATGATTTTTTTTTCGAAAATCACAAAAAATGTTATAACTTCAATAAGACTTAAGCTATCTACAAGTAATTTAGGGCCACATTAACTACACAAAATGACATCAACAGGACCTTCGTAAACAAATTACAAATGGAGATAAAAAATAAAAACCATTCATATGGCTTTAAAGAGCAATATTTCAGCTTTCCAACAGATATAGCAACATCGATTTTGGAAAATATCCTGAAGAGTTATGAATGATCGGAAGGATGCAGTGTTCCACCAAGACAACGCTAGGCCCTACACCTCATTGGTCACTTACAATAAATTATTGAGCCTTGGATGGGACCTTTGCCCCTATTCACCAGACCTAGCTCCAAGTGACTACCACTTATTCCGGTCAATATCAGCAAGCTCGTTAACCCGCAAGGCTACACTGGCCCTCAACTTTATTTATTAGATATTATTTTTTTTTTAAAGTCTTCTCTTTCCAACAATATACTATTCATATACCTTCTGACTATTATTTCCGGAGATTCATTTTTGACTGGATAAGCATTTTTTTTTCTCCTTTATTCAATTATCAAATTCTTTCAAAAGTTTAAATATAACTTTAACTTTAAATATAACTTGGAACAATTAGAGATAGTTAATTATTTAAAATAAATAAACCAAATTAAAGGTACTTTAGAGAAAGACATTTTGAAAATTGGGTATTTAAGCCCTGTTAAGTGACATCGTTAGGAATAAGACCTAAATGGCATTAAAGATTATCTAATTATGCACATGCACACACACACAAACCATTTTGTGGGACTTGATTGTTTCGACTCAAGAGACCTTAAAACATGTATTTCTGTTGAAAACTCAGATTCGAAAATTTTCAAGATCATAATACTTTCCCATACTATATATTACTTATATAGGTAAGTGAAAGTAAAAATCTACCCAGCCGTTCACTCAAAACATAGTTACAAAGCTTTTTGAAAAATGATTAAACACATTTTATTTAATATCGGGTCAGTATTTTTAGCTCAAATTGTTTCAAAACACTCAGAGGATGGATTTCACTGAATAATTTGAGCCACAAAACATACAAATCAATCTAGCCTTTGCTCAAAAGGGTTACATAGCTTTTAGCAGATGACCCAAACACATAACGTTCATTTCACTTCGCTTAGTTAGGTAATATAGATAGGTAACACTAATATATTCTTAAAAAAAAAACATTATTCTAACCTATGATTGTTGGAGAGAAGGAGAAATTATTGGTGTTTTAATGATGTTTAACATATGGAGGTGACAAAATAATTTCAAAACAAGATAGCACACACGATAAAAGAATTTTGTAGGAAGCAGTTCTATGAGAAGGTATATACAGGTTTGAGGGTTGGAATATCTTTTTTAAAGCATGAATGGAAGAAATAGGAGTTGACAATTAAGAATCAAGACTGTAAGACCTGGAAATATTGTAGTCAGAAAACAGGATTGAGCAACTTAATATACCAAGTGGAGAAGTGCAACACCTAGGGGCTCCAAAGATAAATCTAGAGAGAGAAATACTTTATTGAAAGTAGTGCTGACCTACTACATAGGGTTGCTTTACACAGAGCATACTGATCAATCCTTTTTTTCGGACATAATTATGCATTACATTATTTTATTATTACACACAAAATAAGATTATATATATATATATATATATATATATATATATATATATATATATATATATATATATATATATATATATATATCTTTCCTTCCTCATTATAATAATAGTTTTATAAAATATAAAATAATAAACACACCAAGGCCAATAAATTACATTGAGCCATCAACATTGCACAACATACACATAAAAAAAAAGAAATTCAACAAAGTGACAATTCATATGTCACTTCCATCCTATCTCATACCCATCAGGGAGTCCACCACATACAAGGCAGACGATCAAAGTGTGGAAAAATGAAAAGGGAGATTAGGAGTTAATAGGTTTTTAAGGATTATGAAATCACAGAAACTTTTTGAGGTAGAAATAGGTTTTCGGAAAAATTGGGAAAGATGGTTATTCCAGGACTGGCGTTGATACAAAATTACCCTGATATTTCTAGTTAAGTTTAGAAGTGAATAGGTAGGTCGATCATAAAGGTAGTAAGATGTAATAAAGAAGAGAATTAAGAAGCTGCTTGGGACCAATGAGAATGGTATTGGTCTTCTCAACACTTGATTTTAAATTATTGTTTAGTGTTGTATCTAACTAAATTCCGGGTTAAAAGTTATACTTCAGACTTGACAAGGCAAACCTTCTGAATCTTAAAAATTCAAGTTCTTCAATATACAAGAACAATTATCAACCAATAACTTCTTTCTAAAACCTTGGGCAATTAAATAAAAACTAATTGTTTAAAACTGAGAATTTATTTCAGGCTTTGGGCTCTCTTAAAGAGGGTCATTAAAAAACTTCTGTAGTTGCTAAGTATAATAATTGATAATTCAATAAAATTAAATTATATCCATTCACATGAAAAAAAAAGAAAATAATATCTAGATTATATAAAGATAATACTTATATACATAATAAGTTTAGTTATTGAAAAAAAAAACTTTTATAGGGCGATGAAATAAGATTTAATGTAATGGTAGCTTACCCCACTTCTTCGAGATGTCATTGCAACAATGGGGGACCATGTGTTGGATAAAGGGCTATATCGTTCAGCAGAAGAGAGCTCCATACAATCATCCCTTCCACCAACAGCATAAATTAAATTGTTGAAAACAGCACAACCCAAATGTTTTCTCCTCGTAGACATTGGGGCCATAGCAATCCATTTATTCTGTCGAGGATCATATCTCTCAACTGAAAAATTAAGACTTTTCATAAATATGTAGATCAGATAAGAGAATATTGAATAAATAAAATAATCGCTTTGATCAATTACTTTTTGTGTGTATGTGTGTGTGTTTGTGTATAAATTGTTCTTATGTATAGGAGTATATTTAAATTACTAAAATTAAAATGGGTTTAAATTAGTAAAACAATCTGATAAATGTGCCTGCATATATAAATGTCATATTTTGTTTAATTTTTTGCTACTCTCCTCTCCTAAAGCTCTTCATGACTGCTTTCACAATAGTGACATGGATTTTTTTACGCATAAATTACAGATATGTTTTTTATTTATATCTTACCAAATTAAAATGTTTTTAGAAAGCTCAAAGATTTAAAAGTTGAATTTATATCTACACAGAAAAAAAAGAAAAAACCTGAGTTCAATGGAGATTGGCCATCTGATCCACCTATTGCATACAAAAACCCACCAAGTACAGCAACAGCAACTCCAAGCCTTCGAGTAGTCATAGGCGCTACTTTACTCCATTTATTTTCTTTTGGGTCATACCTAAAAAACAAAACTAAAAATATTAATTTGATCACAAACTTAAGAACTCTAAAAAATAAGGAAGATAACATGAAAAGTTAATAAATGAACACATATACACAGTAATTTTATACCTTTCAACATGATTTAAGCATTGGACACCATCTTGGCCCCCTACTGCATAGAGGAACCCATCAAGTACAGCAACACCAACACTTGTTCTACAAGAAGTTGTTGGTGCCACATCACATGACCATTGGTTGGTCTGTGGGTCGTACCTATACATCCCGAAAAAAAAAAAAAAGATTGATTAAAATAATTTCATCTCAGTTTTTCTTATATAATTGATAACCTCTCTATTACATAAAAAAGTTTTTAATGACTTTCATATTTTATTTTATTTTAGTATTAAGAGAGTAGGAGATAATAGGACCTCAACTTATATAGCTGTTTATTTAATTACATGTGTGTTGAGCACCTCCTACCTCCTGCTCTCCTAATACAAAATAAAGATTTTAGATTAAATTTTTTTATAGGAAATGGTATTCATCTGGAGATGGAGTTTGATTTTACCTGGGTGACAGCAGTTATTTTTCAATCTAGACATTTTCCCTTGAATACAATATATAAATTATAATGAATTTAATGGATTATTTGTTTATTGATAAATATTAAAATCTGTCTCAGTAAAGGACATTTATAATAGAGTTCAGAGAGCACATTCACACCATATTTACAAAATCAAAAAATAAATAAGGTAATTTTAAAATAATATACAGCAAAATAAGAACAAAATAAAATATCATAGTGAAGGAAAAAAATATAAATAATAGTAATAATTAAATTAAAATAAGTGAATAAAATAGAATTAAAATTTTCTTTAAAAAAAAAAAAGGAATAAAATAAACATCTTAGACGCAGGAATACTTATTTACAGTCGGCCATGGGAACTCCTAACCAGACTTGTCCCCCCACTTGTGGAGGGAAAGCGAGGCTTCAGGAGATCCCTGCGCTTCTTCCTCAACCACTTCACTGGTATTAAAAGCCAGCGGAGGCTGAGTAAGGGTGCTAAAACCAAAGACACTCATGTCTTAAGTGGAGAATCTGGCCATTGCCAGAACTCCAATATATACATGTTACAAAAGGTCACGGGGCCACTGCCGTTTTAACCTGCGAGGAGGATTGTAGGGATGAGTAAGGTTCGGATGAAATTTGGAGAATTTGTCTGGGATAAGATCAAGAATAAATAGAATATTAAGGTCATTATGCAGGGTTTTATTGGAGACATAGAAGGGAGCATCAACTATTGTAGACTGGAAGGATTGAATGCGTTTGATGTTAGAAAATTTAGTTGCCCCCCACAGTTCTAGTCCGTAGGTCCAGATGGGTTTTAGTATTGTCTTGTAGATCAGTAGTTTGTTTTCAATAGAAAGTTTAGATTTTCTATTAAGTAGTCTATATAGCTGGCCATAACATCGGTTAAGTTCCTGTCTTTTCAGTCTAGTATGCGGATTCCATGTTAGTCGTCTGCCTAGGAGAAAACCAAGATACCAGACTATGTCGGAGAAGGGAAGCTGGATGGAATTAAAGTAAACTGGTGGACAGGAATTAAGACAAAGGATGAAGGTTGTATGTTTACATTTGGATTCATTGACTTTGATGCACCATTTCTTGCATCAGTGTTCAATCAGGGATAGGTGCTGTTGCAGATTTATGGACGCTGTTTCAGGATCTGAGTTAGAAGATAGGATAGCAGAGTCATCAGCGAAAGTTGGCAGGAGTGCATCGGGGTGGCCGAATGAGCTAACGCATTGTGCACAGCACCACCGTTGTGAAATATGAAATGATATAAAAAGTAGTCACAAATTCGTGCCCCGGTGCCAAGGCGTCTTTTAAATCTCCGCCCACACCCTCTGGCATGAGAAAACCCCGTATAGCCTTAACAAAAAAAAAAAAAAAAAAAAAAAGAGTATATCGGGATGGACAGGAATGTCAGCGGTATAGATGATGTAAAGGATTGGGACCCAAGACGCCAGCGAACTCGAAAGGAGCAGTCAGAGAGGTAGGATTGGAATATTAGATATAAGGACTGTGGTAGGTGGGATTTGCGCTTGAAGAGCATGCCATACCCGGTCAAAAGTTTGCGCTCTGTCCAGAAATGCACTCAAGCAAAACTGCTTGTTTTCTAGGGCTGAGGATATGTGGTCAACAACTCGGAGTCCTTGTTGGACGGTAGAATGTTGGGAACAGGATCCGAATTAATAGGTAGAGATTTTTCGGGAATCTATTATGGATAGGATTCTTTTCAAATTTTTTTTTAAAGAATTGGGAGTAGGCTAATTGGTCTATAGGATGATGTATAATTGGGAGGCTTGCCTGGTTTCAGGAAAACGATGATGGTGGAATGTTTCCATAAGAGAGGGAAGAGGGTAGTTCACAGGATACAATTGTATAAATATGATGGCTTTGGATGGTAGTTGTCAAAGGATCTGTGAGGTTAGAAAGTCGTATCCAGGAGATTTACGAGGAGTGGTTTTGCGTAATAGGTATTTGACCTCAGAGGGATTAACTGCTTTAAGTGGTAAGGAGAGTGGGATAGGCAAAGAAAGGAATTCTTCTACTTTTACTGTGTGGGTGGGATGAGATTCTGGTGAAGATACAGGAAAGGTACTTGGCAAATTCCTCGGCTTTGTCAACATCAGACGCGGCCCAGGTACCATCACCTCGACAAAGGGGATGGGAAATATGATGGGATTTTAGGATTTTTTTTTTGGTGGTATTCCAGAGGGAATTATCATGACCAGAGAAGGAGGTGAGGTAGGAGACTGAATGACCGGGATCTGAAGGTGGCTAATTCTTGTTTTACTTTTTTACAGTAATAATTGTAGGAGTGGCGGTCGGCGGGATGTCTGGTGCATTGCCATAATAATCTGGCACGGCGTTTTATATGGATTAGGTCAAGGAGGTGTTGAGGTAAATTGGGTTTCTTGAGGATTTTTGAGGAATGATCAGGAGAGGAAGCCGTCCAGACTGCTTCCTAGATTTTAGAGGTAAAGGAATTGTCCAGGTCTTCGTGGCTTTTCAGAGTTGCTTTGAGGTCAACTTTATCGGAGAGGATTTGATGAAAGAGTTTCCAGTTAACCGGGCCTTTGATGAAGGATGGTGGAGAGGGTTTAGAAACAGGAGCTAATGATACTTGGAATATTAATGGGCTGTGGTCTGAGGGAAGCTTATCAAGACGTGCAAGGGAATAGTGGAGGGTACCTAAACCATTGTGGATAAAGAAATTGAGGAGATCGGAATTACGGTTAGGGTCAGCGGGCCAGTAGGTAGGTGAATTGGGAGGAAGGAGGGTAAAACATTGGGAATTGAGTGCAGACAACAATGTTCGACCACAAGATTTTGTGGTTCTTGAACCCCATTGTTGATGCTTGGCGTTTAAGTCTGCACCCAGGATGGAGTGGTGTCCTAAGGAATTTAGGAGAGAGGTGAACTGGGCATTGGAGATGGAAAGGTTAAGAGGGCAATATGCTGATACAATGGAGACAGGAAAGGAAAAGTTTTGATTACAACTGCAGTGGATTGTAGGAAATCGCGATTAGGCAATGGGAGTATGTGATGAGAGAGGGATTGATGTACGATGGCAGCAGTACCGGCATGTGCTCTACTGTCAGGATGGTTTGTCTGATACGTTAAATACTGTGGTATTAGGGCTACATCAATGTTCTTGTCTAATAGTAAGGCTGTTAGTTCGTCTGTGTGATTTCTAACACCATTCACATTCCATAGGAGAATGGATATGGGTTTGATGGGAGTCATTTAAAGATTTTTTTAAAGGAGGAATGAGATGAGATACCAGGTTTGTAAGAAGTGATATCAGTGGAATGACAAGGGATTTAAATTTGGTAGGGAAGGATGTCAATAAACTAGTAAGATCTGTGGAATTAGACGGTGGGGGAATGTGAGGGATTTGATATTGCTTAGGTTGTTGAGGGTTAGGTACATTAGGAGGGATATGATATTGAGGAAGAGGTTAAGTTGGTTGTTCCTGCAGGAACTCACATTCATTAGTCGGGTCTCTACCTCCGAGTAACTTAGCAAAGGAAACTTTAGAGTCCACGATTTTAGTGGGTACTCTTCTTTGTTTAGTTGTAGCATCGTGGTTCCAGGGCTTGTATCTAGTTTGAGGTTTTTGTAGATTTCACAACCTTTATAGTTGGCCTGATGACTCGCCGAGCATAGGGTGCAGACTGCAGGATCTTTTATTTATTTGGTACATTCACCAGATTTGTGTGACTCGCCACACTTCACGCAGTGTGGCATGTGGTGGAAATATGACTTAGTGTGGCTGTATGCCTGACAATTGTGGCACTGGACGATTTCTTTTTTTGGATATGGTTTTTCAACCTTTACAATGGTATAGTAGAGTCGATCTATATTGTATATTTTTTCCACCCCTGGTGTTGGCTCCAAATCCACAAAAAATAAAGGCAGTGGAATTTTAGTTTTTACTCCTGGCTGGTCTCTATTTTCTTTCAGAACGTTTGTTATTTGGCAAACATTGAACCCTAACACCGTTAGCTCAGACTCAGAGACCATTTGTTGTGAAGATGTACTTGGTTGTGGTTGAGATGTAGATTCTTGAATTTTTGCTGGAGGAGTTCTGCAGGGTGTCAATCGCTTACTGCGACGAGTTTTTTGTTAAGGTAGTGAGCTACGAGGGGTGGAGCCAACAGAACGAGACCTCTTAGTGGACATCACTTGATGAAAATATTCCATCTAAGAATAAAAAATAAAACTTTGTCTGCGTGTCCTTAATCTTGGAGAAACGACAAGCGCAGCTCCTGCCAGCACCGTGGCAAATCTTAGACGTAGCAGATAATGGCGATATAGCGATAAGGCACCTAGGACACTGGCTTCACTGTTTATAGAAGTACACAGTAAATATCAACACTACTTATATTGGTATTAGTCTATTGTTGTTGCTGCTGTGTTGATGTCAGCGTTACTAGTTTTTAAGTTAAAAAAGTATACTTTTTCCACTTAAAAAAAGAAAAACTATGGGAGACGATGTATAAAGTGGAAAATCAAATCTAACGCATGTGCAGAACTCTATTATGAATTAGAAAAGGAAATACAATACAATGTACAATGAATATATTAGAAATCAAAGGCTTAAATTATTTTAAAATTTATCAAATTACTGAAATTGCTTTATATCTTTCTAATCATTAGCTACATGAGAATAAGTATGTCATTCTGTTCAATTAAAGTATTTAGAATTAATCTTGCCAATAGTGAACAGTGGTCTGTTCTAAACCTCTGGCACATTTGTATCAATTTTCATGTAATATATGCTTACTACATTGGTAATTAAATTCATTGAAGCAAGCATGGATACCCAATTTGTAAATAATGCATTACAAATAGCAGTACATAGTATTATATATAACACAAGAAATAAATGGTTTATGTAAATAGATATCATAATCGATTGTTTCATTTACAAAGTTAGGCTGTCTGAATGTAATGATTGTAATTAATGTCATTTTAGTATCATGAAAGGAAGGCTATTAACATTAGTTAACATTATGCCCATATTTATACATATAGCTATTATATTTACAGCACTAGAATATAAATCTTTCTAGTAGAAAAAATACTTTTGCTTATCACATTTCAGTCTACTTTAGATTAAGCATTAATAGTGATGATAATATTTTTTTTATACAGATGTAATAAAAAAATATTACCTCTCGATACTGTTCAAATAAGATTGTCCATCATGACCACCGACAGCATAAAGAAGGTCATTAAGAACAGCTACACCAACGCCACATCTCCTTTTGGACATTGGTGCCACCATCTTCCAATCAACAGTTTGAGGATCAAATCTCTCTACGGAAGCTATGGCATCTCCACTGCACCAACCCCCGACTGCAAGCATCAGGAATGTTCAAACTTTCTTAGTCCGAAAATCTGTGCACATTTATTTTTTGTTAAATTAATTCATAAACTAACAGATCTTATTATCATAATATACCTTGTCATTGAAAATACCTTTTCAGTATGTGGCTTGAATAGAATGCTGTCAGGTGGTAAAAGAATGAAAAAGGGTTTAATCAAGAAGTTATAGAAATGAAAAAAAAAAAAAACAAGCATTTACAGTAGTATTATATCTTAGATCAGGTAGAATTACCATGACTGTGAATGATTGGAATCATTTGTGAAAAATAAAAAAATGAATCGCAAAATTAAGTAATAACAGAAACTACTTATGTATATGTATGTATGTATAAATAATCGAGGAAAAAGGTAAATGGCAAATGCTAAAGCTTTTAATAAATAATAAAAAAATAAATAAAAACTTCGAAATTATATAAATTTATAATTTTTATTAATTTATTTGATTAATTAATAAGAAATTATACAAGGACAAAAATTGCATGAGATTTTAGAAAACAAGTACTTAACTTACTATTGTAAATGCATTTACTTAATAATTATAACAAAAACAGAGAGAAAAAACAATAGTACCAGGTCAAAATAGGTTTTAAGATCTTAATAATATACAATTTGTAGAATCTTTTGATCGAAAATGATTTATTTTTAAAAAAATGTTGGTGACTCTGCATTTTTAAGAATCCCTTTTTTCCTGTGTAGAAGTGGTAAACAGTCTTCAATCTTTAGAAATAAAAGCAGAGAGGCTTAGATTAAAAAAAAAAAAGTCTGCCAAATAAGGTCAGTGTAGCTTCCTCACCGTTTTCATTTGCTAAGAAATATCTATATTAAAAGGTATAAAAATTTTATTCAGTAATCCCTCAACATATATAGGCTAGATATCCACGAGTTTTGTTTATCAGCAAATACTAAAATGTGAAAAAGTTCCGCATTTGCAGATAGCATATTTGATAATTCGTAATTAAAAAAACAATTCCAGTGCATACTGAATATGTATCTCGCTACTGTTAGTGCAAAGGTCTTACGTAAAAATTGAGTGTTTTACAGGAGAGCATACAAACTAATTATTTCTTTGTGATTTATTATTATAATTTTATATTTTGTTACCCTCTGCTATTTTTCATAGTAGTTGACTACTTACACTTAATAGGTACGTACATATACTTAATAGGTATGTTTTCATTCATAAAATGGATGGAACAAAAAAATCATAGGAAAAATTCAACTTTTTTTTTGTTCAGAGTTAACGAGACCAATACTTTTCTTCAGTCAGAACAAAACTAAGCTGGAATATAAAAATGAATGAAAAGTGGAAGAATATATAAGTGAAGTTGACAAAATTTTGATATTTAAGGAGAAAATCGAGACCACGACGAGCTGGTTGAACTTCAATTGAAATAAACACAATCACAAATAACTTTTTTTTTTTTTTTACAAATTCAGAGTACAAATGACTTAAATTTACTGAAAATTACATGAAATCTAAGTAACGGCAATAAGTATCATGCCAGTAAAGTTTGAAAGCTACCAAACAATACAGTATAAATTAATGTTTTTATTAAAACCTAAAATTTTATAACCCTATAACAATATTGTAGTAACTTAACTCCCATTCCATATGATCAGGGCCTTCCATATTTCACAGCCATTATATTGTTAACAATTATTTATATTAATTTTAATTATTAAATGGAATTCAATGAAATTGATACTAAGTAATTTCTATACTGTTCTCCAAATTCTCTCCAAAATTGGGTCTGTTTTCAATCTACAGACATATCAAATAACAGATTTCCAGATCTGAAAGCGGAAATTTTTTTTTTGGAGTATTAGATAGAATTTGATAAAATTGGTGCTTATTTCATTTTACGTTTACCAATCCCTAAATTCCCTCCAAATTTGAGCCAAATTGAACTTGCGGTTTTAGAGATCAAAGAAAACACATTTGCGCATATATAAGAGAAAGCAATGGACAGAATTCCATAAAATTTATTCTACATTATTTGTTCACAAATACCTACCTTTTCCCCAACTTTGAGCGAAAGCTGAAATATTGGCATATCTACAAAAATGCGCGTGCATAAGCGGAAGTGCTGGCTAGAATTTAATAAAATTGATATGGGACTATCTAGACACCAACCCGCACAATTCCTGAAAATTTCATAAAAATCGGATAAACGACAGCAGGTGATATGCCCGTTACATTGATTTGACTACAAAAAGACACCGAACCAAATTTGATCCTTGATGTCTGAAACATAAAACACGATTGGAAATTTTTGATTCTGAGCACAAAATGTTTTTTAAAATCTCGCACGAATACAATGCTTCCCTACCTTTGGTAGTGAGGAAGCAAAAGACTATTAAGAATATTTTGTTTAACAATTTTCCAAGAATAATAGAATCCTATTTGAGTATAAAATGCATTTATTTTTATAGAAAGCAAAACATTATTATCAAGAACATAGCATACGCATAAATTTCTGTGTGGTTTGTAATGTATTACAATACATTACAAACCACACAGAAAAAGTTTTCTTGAAGGAAGTTTGTCAACTGTTATACATACTACCCAAGAAAAAGTTTTTTTTGTTTTATAAATTATGATAAATCAAGTTGAACATAGGAATCTTAACTTCAGAAACAATTAAGGAGATAACAGCTAATAAATCATAGTTGTTGAGATGGAGGATGTATATTAGGAATTTTTACCAATAGTAAAAAACATATAAATTAATTTTATTGGTTAAATCAAGACTGTAATAAATAAATAATGACTAAATAAATAAATATTAATAATATAATAGCCACAGATTACCGTTAAATTATTACCAGCAAATAAAACTTCTCCTCTCCGGGTAGGTTTCCGAGGCCGTGTTCTAGGACCTTGCATGAGAGGACGTTCTTGTGGAAGCAAAAGATAATTCTTAGCTTCATCAACAAGATCTCTACATACTTCATCACTTCTAACCAAAAGATCAGATCCCACAGTGCCAACTAAAAATTTTGGGCTTAACAGAGGAAGTCGAACATGTTGTAAAACCTACAAATAAATTAGAGTTAATTATTTTTTTGTCTTGGAATTTACAGCCACCAAAACACAAAATACAAATAAAAAAGCCATAGAAGAAAGATTTGGGGGAGTGATACCCATTTTTAGCATTCCAATGACATTATTGATAACACTAGGTTAGGTCAAAGGGAGATTTATTTTTTTCAGAAGTCTTGGAGGATAATTAAAAAGTATAAGGAAAAAGGTATAAATTGGCTACAAATTCGAGAAACCAATAAGTCAACTGTGGAGAGACAAATCAATATTTCTGGTGAATTATGTAATAAATAAAATATCAATCTCGGTGGATTAGTGAAATAATATTGATCATTAAGCATCTAATAAAGTTTTTTGGATTAAGGAAATGAATTTAATGGTTTATATGAAGTGCATAGAAAAATATCATATGTAGGAGTGATTTTTGGGTTGGCATTGAAGCAGAACTAGACTTGAGAAACTTCTTTTCTCCAGTTTTATCCAAAGGCTCCACATAATAGTCGAGATACAATCTATTAACAGAATGTGAAGTAATAGGTTTTAACACAGGATAAAGGAATTTTGGTAGGATTAGCCCTGATTCTCTATGGATTATGATATGCAACAAGAGAATCTGAGAACCTATTAACTGATCAGAGTCAAAGAGAAAGTGTCATCAATATAGGTTATAAAAACAGTGATAGTTGGGATGTCAGCAATAGTATTCACTATAAACTATCTTGTAACAGGTATAAGCATGTTATTAAAGTTTTCAAAATTCCACAAAAAAAAAAATATAAGGCAGAATAAGATAATTTACCTGAGGTAAATGTTGCCTCCGCTCAGAAACGTTGTATTTTACCCAGGACATGACAGCACTAAATACTTGTTCTTCAGATCTAACATTTAGTTCATCACTTGAAATTATATCTATCAATTGCCCAACAGGTAAAAGAAGAAATTCTTCACTTTCCATCACCTAAATTAATTTTAATCATTGTTAGAAACTTATGATCAATAAATAATACTATGAACTAGTAGGCCCATGCGAAAAATTCGCACAGCATATAGTTATCAAATGAAAAATTAATAAGAAAATAAAAAAATGCAATGTATCAAAGGATTAAGACATCAAATGTTACTATATCGATAAATATAATCCACAAAGCAAACAAAAATTAATTTAAATCTTCACTTTTGTTAGGAACCAACATGTTTCCAAATTTCAGTAAGCTGTATCTTTGCTAAAATTTGTCCGATTTCGATGATTTTTTTTCCCCTTTTGTAAGGAATTTAGTAATCTTTTATATAACCATGGGCATAACCCAGGGAAAAGTGCTTAACTTTTCAGTTATTCGCAAATAAAGTTTATTTTCTTTCATAACTTGTTTGTCTGAATTTTCTGGGTGATTGGACTATTTTGCCAGACTGAAGGAGAAGGAAGCCTTCGAAATTGGTGGCTCAATCTTGAGATTTGATGATATGGCTTGCCGATAAATAATACAAACTCCTCCTCTCTCTATCATAAATACCTCAAGTCGACGAAATGAGACATGTATTCAATGACAGTATTACAATTAATGTAAGGTTGTGTGGATGCGAACCCTATGCCTTGCATTATCTCAAAAATAGTACGTTTTTGGGGGTTAAAAACGCAGGATCCGATAGTTCCGGAGGAACTATCCGGGTCTTGCTGTACGCATCAAAATTTTCAAGAACCAATTTGTCCCTATCAATCTACAGACCTACCACTGTTCCAGTATTGAAGCCTAGCAAAATGTTTATATCGACTTTATTTATTTCAGAAAGAAAAACAAAAGTGGAGAATACGATTCGCTAACCCCCCGTGAAATTCTGAATCCAACGGTACCCCATTCATGGTATTTGAGCAAGACAGGAGCTTATATTTGGTACAAAACCGATTTCGAGCCTTACTTTAATAATATATGTACGGATAATGCTTGCTATAATAAAACAGGTCCAAGTTAATTTTTCAAACTAAAACTATACTGTATATGAGATGATTATCCATTCTTCATACCGGAATGATAGATATGAATGAGCACACTCATAATGATCTGAGAAACACTGAGAGGGCTTTAATGATTTATAGAATCATACACTTTACTTTCTACTTAATGTTTTTTATTTAAATGTAAGTACTAATAACCAATTTACTAATTATAGCTTACTAAATATGACCTACAACTTTCTTAGGGTTCTGTAAAACAATTGAAAAAGTTTCATCAAAATTATTCTTGTAATGAAGAGATGAAAACAACACTCTAAAAGATAAATAATTTTATATGAGGATTTGATGGCTGAGAGAGTTAAGGTATAAACTTAACAACCTTGATTTTAGCAGTGTCAGTTCGAATCTCTCCAGGATGGGTTAAAATTTATTTTATAATGGACCCACAGTATGAAATGAAATGAAAATAATATTATTATCCTGATACTGATGTGTCTTTAGAAAAATTATAAACAAATTCAAAGGGAAGTAAGATGGTCGAACTGGCTAACGCGTGTGCACTGCACTAAAAATAATAAAAAAAAAGATAAAATTATCAATACAGAATAAATATAACATGTTAGTAAGGCTATACATTAAATTAAATATTGGAATAAATCTTGACCTTATCAATTTGGCTAGAATAGATTGGCTACCAGTAGGTTAGCACCTTACATCAGTAATTTCCAGGACATAGAAAATAATTACAAGTATTATCTTGTTTTAAGATTAAATTTTACCTCTTGAAAATTGTGTTGCGTAAATTTATCAGCAATCCTCAGCAGCTCCCGGCAAGAATGAGTATCGGCAAATGCTCTTATTCCTAAGCAATTCGATGGATCTAGCTGTCGTTTGAGAAATTCACAGCATATATCTTGAATTTCAGCTAGTTGAAGAAGGCAAGCTGAGAAAAAATAACAGACAATACAACATAAGAGATGTATTTTAGAATGATTAAAAAAGAGTAAATATATAAACTATAACAACAATTTTAAATACTCAGTTTCTTATAATTTCAGTATGTGGTTATGCTCAACTCATCACACTTGTAATCATTACAATAGTTATTGTGACTACAGGCATCAAGTAATGTACATATTTTTTTAACTCTACTATTATTTTAAGGGGACTTCAGTCCCAGAGTAAAATTATTTTTCATTTTATTTCAAGCACATCAAAATAAGTTAAAGTGACTACAGGAAATATGATTCTATCCTTTCATAAATTATAAATAATAAGAGAGTTGTCTAAATTGTATTAAGCAATACAAGGAAAAACAAATATTCAATTAGTAATAGCCAGACTCTACAGTATACAGATTCTATAAACAAGTCAAAGTCGCAACACATTTAACTCACTCATTAATCACTTTTGACAAAATTGATACAACTAAAAATATTTTTTATTCTAGTAGCCATCAAAAATGCAAGTTAAAAACAGTCTTCTACGCTCCATCTGGTATCAATTGGAGGGGAAGGAGGATGTAAAGATCAGGTAACAAGTGCTATTATAACTTAGACCCCGCATTTCTAGTATGTAGATATGCATTTTCTTTTGCATTTTTCATTATTGTTATTCTAAGGGAACTTAGTCCCAGACTAAAGTTCAATTTTCTGTTCTATGTCGATGGTGATAGGCTTTTTCAACATTTTTTTGTCTGTCTATGGTAGGTCTCAGGATCTAAAGCCATTTGCAACTAACTTACACTTGTGTAACATAACAAGTTCTCTAGTTTAAGATTATAGGAAATTTCCTACAGAAGTTTCAGGAAGCTTCAGAAAGTTTTTAAAATTATCCAATAACGTTATTTCTATATGAATCACATTTTCTTGAATGGTTTAGGGATTAAATATGAAATAAGATATGACATGTTTGTATTTCAACACCTAACTCTCATCTAGACTTTTATAAAATTTAAGAATTTTCCTTAGCTAATAAAATATCACTCAATAAATATCAGTATATAATGTAGAAACATACTCTTATGATTCAAAACTCAACTGTATGAATTAATACAATTTTTAAGATAAAAACAAATTAAAGTTATCTAAATGTTTTCATAACGAAGTATACTATTTTCATTTAGCTTTACAGGAACTTTTTAAATTATTTCTATAAACATGACAATGTTTTTAACAATTAAAATGACAAACATTGTAAGGTTTATATATAAAAATAACCATAAGAAAATAAATATATATTACCAATAGAAAAAGATAAGTTATACATTATTATTTGACCAAAGAATAGCATTTTAGAAATGTATACAAATTCATTATCCAATCAATCATTATCAAAATATATTAAGAAGTAAGTTCTAAATTTATCATTCCAAGAAATCTCTCTAGAAATTGTCACTATATAGACATTACGAAGTATTAAACACCTAACAGATTTATAAAATGTCAAACTGCTAGGAAGTACAACTTCAATAAAAAATAATGTTAATGTGTTTTTAAATATTTTGTGATACCTCTTTTATTGTCAGATTTTAGGAGGAAAATATTCATGGTCTAAAGAATGAAAACCAACTCTGAATCATTTATCTTTAATAAGAACACCTTTGAAAATAACTTAGAATAAATGAACTCTCTTGGAAATAAATAAACAAAATTTGGACTTCAAAGATCTGTCAAGTCAAACTATACCTGCTGGGAGCAATGTTTGAACATTGGCTTCTTCAACCACAATATGAGATGTATAACAAAAATCAATTAACAATTCCATTGCATGTTCATCAATGTCTCTTATAGTGACTTCTGTCTGCCTAGATTCAGCTAATTCACCAGTAAACATAGCCCGGAAATATGGACTGCATGCTGATAGTATTACTCTAGAACACAATTTAAAAAACAAGACATATTAAAAAATAACAAATACATAAAAATTAATCATGACAATATATGTAAATACTTGCCTATGAGCAAAAATTTTCCTAGTTCCTACATTTAAAACAACATCACACAATTCTCTATGTCGACGCAGAACATTTAACTCAGTAAGTGTTCCCCTGGGATGTTTCTCAGAGGTATGTGCCAGGCGAGCAGGTGAAGGTGCTCTTTCCCTGTCTCCACCTCCAGCAACACCGGCTAACTCCGCCATCCTGCGGCCTGCTTGAAGCCGCAGTGGCGGAGATGGCCAGCCCCACACGGAGTCAATCTAAAATTTGTTTAATGTGTTAAATGATAATATTCAAATCAGCAATCAGTTTACTCAAGTCATTTAAGAAAATTTGAACTTTTAAAGAGCAACATTTACAAATTATTACAATATATACAAATACCTTTATCGTAAGGCCTCTTATCCCGTTTATTTCAATATACTGATGAATTTTTTTTTAGTTGGGTCATAAATAAATAAACAAACAGTTCTGAAGCACAGATTGGATAACCTTTCTTAATTCAACTCAAATAAAATAGTTTGTGGTTCCAATCTTCGTTATATCAAACACATATAGTCAAATCTTGAAACAAAATTTTACACTGCTATTAGATTCCGAACAGATAATACATCATCAAAATTCTTTAGGTCTTTCTAAACACAGTTCATGAACCTTCCAGCTGTAGTACACACACATGGCTGACTGTATCTCACTTTCATTGGTGAAAGTCCAATTCATTAAACGAAATGAAAGTTTTAACTAGAGCGTATTTGCATTTCAAAAAGCTTCATAAACATTAATAGCCAAGATTAATAAACAGCAAACATTATTTTTTTATTTTGACATAATTGTTTGTTTTCATAACAAGGAAGGTTAAGCTTGTTTGTGATAAGATAGCAACTAGTGTTCTGCCCACTTAGTTATTATGTTATTATTTACACTCATTCTTTTGTGACTCATCCTAATTTAAGCGTTTGGGGAGCAGTTATGGGCACCACTGCAAAAAGACGGTTGTGTGAATGGGTTTTCCCTGAAACTCACTATTTATGGCTTGTTATCAGGACTTCAGTTGTGTAAATATGTAGATTTTTTCAGTGTTTATTGGCTGGCAGCTATGTCACAGGTCCATTTTTGGTGGCGATACGAATTACTTACTGCTAAATATTCTGAAGAAGTAACTGATTTTGATTTTATCAAATTAATCACATTAGATAACTCATTGTTTCTGTTAGACAAATCCAACCAAGTTTGGCAAGGCAATATCGATTCAAAGTATACTATCTCGTTAAGTAGAACAAATATATTAGCTGTAGATATAGGTGCCACCCGTTTTCATTTGTATTATGTCACTGAAATCGGTAGAGTATTTAGATTATCTCCTACCCTCAAAAGTTGTGAAGAGGTAGTTCTGTATGAAGAATCATCATGTTGTAGCCATGGATATGTTACTCATAGCCGTAGAATAAATGTGAAACAGATATCTGCTGGTGGAATGGGTGTAATATTTCTATCAGACACTGGAGAACTATGGGCTTCTGGAGATCACCCACAGTTAGGTATATATAGTGAAACAGAACCTAAGAAAGTTATGTTTTTTGAAGGTAGGCATGTTACATTAATTAGCTCTGGTGAAGATTTCAATGTAATTATTTCTCATAAAAGAGATGATATTTGTTCTATAAATCAGCCAGAAAATGGAGAATCTGAGGTATTTTTATCAATCTGTCCACAGTGCACAAGTGACATAGTTGCCTCTCCTTTATCACCACATTCTTGTTCTGATGCATGCCCTCTTGGCTTATCATATAAAAAATCATGTGAATCTTTAAGTGCTTCAACTTCTACCAGTAAAACTAATGGTGGTAGTGAAAACAGAAGGAGTAACGACAATACTTCATCTTGTACAGAAGACTCTCATCATATGTCTGATGCTACAGAATGTAATGTTTCTCATCAATCGATTGATGTAGAAAACAGAGATAATCAAGAAAAAGGTGATCGAATGAGTAGTATGCTTATGATAAACACTGAAGCTGCCAGACAGTTTTTAACAAGGCAGTTATCATGGGTTTCATCTGGAGGGGAAGAATTATTGGCAGAAGTTTCTGGTCCTACTAGAATATTACGTCAGAATGTAACCACTGTGGCAAGCCTTGTTTATGAAGGAGTAAAAACTGTTGGTGACAAAGTGGCAACATTATCTCGACATGTCAGTGGTGGTTCTGACAACATAAGTGATTCATTTGAAGAATTTGAAGAACTTAATCGATCCAATGTCAGCTTAAATAGTAGTCTAAGGTAGCTTCTCATTTGGTTTCTAAAAAATAGGAATCAATATCTTATGTTTTTCTTAGCTCTATATATGATTTAACAACTTTTTTTAGGTGGGATTGGTCTTGCAGTGATGGTTCTGAAGATGCTGCTATGGAAAGAAATGGTGTTAGCCGGGTCAAAGGTGCTCGTTTGATTAGAGGTGAAGTCTGGGTTTGGGGTAATGCTCAGCATGGTCAACATGGAATTGGCGAGTTCGTTAAAAGAAATAAGTAATTATAATTGAGCTTGTTACCTAACGTTATCATGTTAATGCATAATACACTAGTATTTCATTTAAATTTGTTTTATCTATCATTATAGTTTGTTTGAAAAATTTGGATACAATTGGCATCAGAGATTGTCACTATATAGTTTAGAAATGGACTAAAAATGATCACTATCAATGATACAGACCAGTGGTTTTTAAATTTATGCTCATGAACATCTTTTTTTTTTGTGGAAGAAATAAATTCAAAAAGTTTTGACTATGTTGAACTTTTATTTAATAAGTTAGATAGATAAAAATGACTTCATTCTTGGACAAAGTCGACAAACAAACAAAGGCTACCTTTCTCTTTAAGTCGATTATCATTAACTTCCCCGCAATTTAAGTTCTTCTATAACCTTAAATATGTTCAGTTTTACAGAAGCTGACTTATATTCGAAAATTAGGCTACATCATGTAACCTTTATCGAACTTGTACATACATTATATAGCTGTCCAAAATAAATAGTAATAGATAAAAACCTTTAATTAATATTATCTCTGAATGCTATTTCACAATATTATTTTTGTTATTGATGATTTCTATTATTCATTATCAGATATTCTTCGTCTGTTGTTTCCCCAATACGTTAATTCCTTCCTCGAAAATAAACACGATTTTTTTTTGTTGATTTTTTTATGAATGACCACAACAAGTCCCCATTTTTGGTTTACTAAGCAAAATAACTACGAATAACAATAATTACGCAGCTCAATCAATTCATTCAATAAAAATAATAGTGATTAAAACGAGAAAATAAATTTCAAGTTAACAGTATAGTCCAACTAACTATACTGGCAGTTCTACAGATCCCATTGAGATTGGACATTATTGGGATAATTATTTATCTATTTAACGATTATTAGATACATTTTATTTATTAATACTTTTCTCATGCAATCTTTATAATCTGACACCATTTTCATAAAAAGCGTTCTTAACAATTAAATAGTTGACTCTTATTTCTAAGAAATCCTAAAAGCTACAGAAGTTTGAATAACAATTTCAAATGCGACAGTATATTCATAAAAAGCTCCGACGACTAGAAAATAGTGGATCCGTATATCTAAGAATTCAAAAAAGTTGTATAAACTTGATCCTCAAACTCAAATCAGACAGTATTTGCATATAAAGTGCTCCCCACTAGAAAATAGAGGACCCCCATATTATTAGAAATTCAAAAAGTTACATAAACTAGATAGAAGATTGTGCAATTCTAAAAAAGGCTTGCTAAAATAAATTATAAATTCAATTATTCCAACTTCTACTGAAAACTCGATTAACAAATATAAAGATAAAAGATAACTTCAGATTATTTATTATCCAAATGATGAAAAAGTCTTTTATACAGTCATAAAATATAATTTACAAAAGTATATGCGCACTTACAGCCATTACATGTAAGCACGTGTTAATAAAAATTGTATTTCTAAAAGCATTTTTTTTTTTTTTTCAAAAATGCATGAAAAGGGGATTGTGTGGTTTGGGTGGGCAATAGCTGGCGTCATAAAAGACTGCAACATTCGGCTGTTTTCGGGATTTCATGAACAAGTGTGATCGAAGTGATTGTGAACCACACGTAATCCGTGCAGGACTCATGTGAACTATTACCACAAAGTCCCTGGAGAATAAAAAAATTGTACAAAAATAAAACATTAATTCAGACCTAGGGTTTGAAACAATAAAAAAAAATTAAGAAAACATGCTATATTTTAGTGAACATGCTATACGCAAAATAAAAATATGAACAAAACGCTTAAAACAATGTAAAAGACACTTAAAACTATATACAATGATAAAACAGTATAAATATACACTTCTAAGAAAAAATTAAAATTCTTTTTATCAATAAGCTCAAAGTTTCCACTACGAAAAAAGAAAACTGAATGTGTCCATATAAAATTTCTGATTTTATAAACGCTAAGTAATATGTAAATACATCTAAATAATATACAAATATATCACAGGAAGAGCAGGATTATTACTTAATGTAATTATATATAAGAATTTAAATTGTATATAATAAAAAATAACAATAGATGCATTGAGTGACATCAAGGGTAGGAAATTTTTGTCATATCCCTAGCAAAGAATAGAACTATCCTTTTATGATAAATGACATAAAATAAATGTATAATGTCAAAAGGTCAGCAGGAATCTGAATGTTATGGGGATGGGAATTAGAATATGACGATTTTGAATGTGGATAGGGAAGGGAATGCTGAATATTGATAGGGAGGGAATTCCAGATATTGACAGAGCGAGCAACTCAGAGAAGGGATGGGTCAGAAGGTCAAGCTAGATCTTGTGATGGAATGGACTGATGACTTGAATTGAAGAAGGTTTGAGACATTAGAAGGCCAATGATTGTTGATGATTTGATAGAGGAATAGTCCTAGGAAATATTGACTTTGGAAGGAGGAGAAGAGCCACCTTACTCAGTGTAGTAGTGAGAGACACTGAAATGTCTTGAAGTTCCAATTACAAATCTTACAAATAATTTGTATTACTGTACAATTGCAGAAAGTTATTTATATAAAACTAAAAGGTTGAGGGATGTAAAGTTAATTTCAAAATTATTTTGTGCATCCCAATTTAAGAATCTATGATGTAGATTATAGATAGGGAATCTGTGGCCTCCTTGAGTTTTTGTGCATTATTTATAAATGACATCCTCATTAAAATCAAAGTATGTATTCACATTCTTAAACAAATTAAAATACACATGGTGAATTATAAATAAATTTACTATCATTGCCTTACCTAAGTGTGGCCTCTTATAATAAAAATGTTCCCTGTGTATGAATTAATTCTGTTCCTTATCTCTTACTCTATCCTAATCACTTCCACACTAACATTTGAAATCTTAGGATAATCTTCGATCAATACTTATCCTGGAATAACTATATTTCCCAAAGGTTCTTGTCTTTTAGGCTATACAGGGTTTTCCCGGGCTAGGGAGTGAGGGCGTGGGATTAATGCCAGAGTTAAAAGCCTCCCAACACCAGGACGTGAATTTGTAATTATTTTGTGAAATAATCTTCCGTCAGATTGCCAGGCAATGTGTTGCTGGGCACACGCATAGACCCACTCGACCATCTTGCTCCATTAACTGAAAATCTATTACTATTCTCAAACTGTTCCTAAGATCTATGATTCTATACCCATTAGCTCTTAGTTTTCTCTCTCATTTTCTTCCTCTTTGATTATGTATGCCTTGTATATGGTGGACTGTATGATGGGCATGACATGAGATTGAAGTGATGTAGGAATTGTTCCATTAGATTTACCTTTGAAGTCCTTAAGTGCTTCCACCTCTCCAGAAAGTATGCGAAGTTAAATTGGTTTTATCCAAGTTTCAAAAAACAATATTTCCTTGGCATATACTTTTACTGATCCTTAGAAACGAAAATACCTTCTTATATCCTTGACTTGTTTACTCCTTGTTATTCTGTTCACTCTTTTAACATGACATCCCAATCCACAAACATTTAATATTCTTTCTCATAGAACTTCTTTCTTCAAAAAGTCTTTTATCATATAACTACCTTGTTTAGGAATTCTTTATCCTACATCCATATGCAAAATATTTCTAACGTTATTTAAACAACAACTATTTTTTCATCTTCTTAAGTATTACTCTTCTGAATATATGTAAGAAAAATGTTTTATATTAGTACCTATCAATTTTTTTATTTTTGTAATTTAAACAAGCACAAATTAGTAATCATTACACATTTATTTAGATATAATTCTTTATTTTCATTTACTTATTTGTCCTTGTCTTTAACATATTTTATAATTGTATTATTCTACTATTTTCTAATTACTGCCAGACAAATGAAACTGCTATTGTACATTCACATTATTGTTTGGGAACTCAATGTCCCAGGATAAAATATACTTTCATTTTTACTTTATATGTTATGGTAAAGAAAATTAATAGAGCCCACTAAAAAAACACTCTCTTACAAAGTGATATGATGGCAGGTATGATATATTATATGAGTACAGGTTCAGAATGCAGGATATTTTACAACTAGTAAGGCACATTATGAAGAAGACCCTTGTATATGCAGAAATATATGAAATAATTATAAGAAAAGTGGTAATGCCATTTGTTTCCAAAGATTAATTTCAATTCAACGTCAAAACAAGCTTTTCTTCCACCTAGACTGGACCGTCCAGAGTTAGTCAAGAAACAAGAACGATGACAAAGCCTCAACCTAGGACCGCCTCATAAGAACACGAATTCCAGAAAGTAGAAAGGAAAGAAAAAGAGGGAAAAAAGCTGGAACTGAGTTAGCATTACTTTTTTATTAATTTTTTTTTTGTCCTCCCCTTCATCGCCGTTTAGGCTACAAGGAGGTTTCTTGAGCCAGGGAGTGAGGGTGGGGAATTAATGCAGAGTTAATAGCCCCCCTTGGAACCGGAATACGAACTCGTTATTATTTTATCACACAATCTTATACCGCGTTGCCAGGCAACACACGATGCTGTGCATATGCGTTAGCCCTCTCGGCCACTCCGCCCGTAAGAGATAGCATTACTTGTGGCTGAATCTAACGAGACCTAACTGAAAAAGAGAATACGAAAAAAAGGAAAGGCTATGGCGAAAATTGTACAGGGTGTTCCCTTAAAGCCTTTAGAAAATGCTCTTGATCGTGTTTTAATAGCTATAGGTTGGTAGGCAAAGAATTCATTGGAAATTCTGAAAACTTAACTTTCCCAGAAGAATTGGGGTGAGAGTCTGATAATGTTTGTAAGAAAAAGAAGTAGAATCCTCCTATTCTCCTAATTCACTCATTACGTTTTCATACAAAATCAGTGTTCTTAATTTAAACAACTGCTGGACAGATATGAAGATTTACCCCAAATAAATATTTCTAAACTACATATAGAATTATCATTCATCCATTATTTTATAATTCAATATTCGTTATGCATAATTTATATTTACTTTGAGATATTTTTTTTTGTTATTGAAATTAATTTATTTCAATGTTATCATTCCATTCCTTTGAAAAAAATAAAAAAATTATACCATTATTTTTTGTAATCTGAAAACAAATGTGAAGACCTGTGAGAACAGATGATCAAATAATACAAAAATGTTCCATACATCTTTTTGCTTTTAAGATTTTTAAGTAAATTTTAAGAAAATTATACATACTAATAATTTGTTTATTAAAAACACTAATTAACACTAAAACACAAAAATTTATTTACAATTTAAGGCCAAATAATTTTTTAATGAATAAACTGTTAAATTTGAAAGAGTCCATAGATTTTGTATTTGTAGAATGTTCCTGAATTATAATTTTTTTGAATTTGATACATCATTTTATGTTATATACCTTTTTTTTTCTCTTTAACTATTTATCCACACCTGTTATGTTTTGACAATCAGCGGATGTGTTGTGATGATGAGGATTGGCATTATAGGCATGAACTTAAATTTAAAAGGAATAACTAAATTAAAAATTTCAACTTTAAAATTATGATTTGCTGTATGTGATGTTTTCCTACTTCAGAATGTTCTTTGTTATGTAAATACGTACAGATTCGTGTTTTTCCTTCAAAATAACTTACTTGCACTTTCAAATCACTGATCTCAGACAAATTTCAAGGTAGCAGCTCTATGTGTCCCCTCTGCCTTGAGTCTGTAATTGGAGTACAGCTATGCTTCTACAGGGTGGGCCAGACCCCCTTACCGTGCACCCCCCCCCCCATCCCTATAAATTGCATATCGTTGTGTTCCTTTTGACAATTTATTAAATAAAAGCCAATGTTCCCACAAAAAAAAGTGAACGAACTGCCCCAAAATGGCGTCCAAACATGGCGGATTGACGACTTTGACTTTAGTTAGTTTTTTTGTTACTGAGAATCAGCATTTGGCTTAATTTCATTATAGTTGGTCTTTTATTAAAGCTGGATAGTCAGAGAATAATAAAACATGAAAAAATATTAAAAATATTATATACTTCCCTGGAAATGAGTTATATTAATACCTGTTTTATAAACTAAAGTAATATATACCTAATCTGAACTACTTTTAATGAATTTTTTTAATAGCGATATAACAATTTTACTAAACAATCCATCACCTATTCATTAAAAGTAGTTCAGATTAGGTATATATTACTTTAGTTTATAAAACAGGTATTAATATAACTCATTTCCAGGGAAGTATATACAATTTAAATTACCTCTAAGAATCAGTAAATATATAAAACAAAATATTAAATTGCAAATATTAAATAAAAAAATCAAGATATTCTGCAAAGTATTTTTGAATTAAGTTTTATTATTATAATTTTATAATTTTTATAATAGAGGCCTTCTTAAGCGATCTCCGTATAGAATAAATGAAGTTAAATTAAAAAAAAAATAATAATGAAAAATAAAAACAAAAATAATAAATTTAAAAAAAAATAATTTTTTACAATTAAATTATTGTATTAATATTTGTTCGTTAATATAATCAATAAAATATAACAAAAACGTTATTATAGCACTATAACTAAGCCATTTATGAGTACTGAGTGGTGTGGTAGAGGCCTGTGGGCACCCACGCCAGTAGCGCTTTTCTGCCGCTTAAGTACATTTTATACGGAACTACTTCAAATATTTTAAAAAGTAATCAGTGTTTTAGAAAGAGAAATGTATTCTCCAGATGTTTTATTTCAGCACGTTTTGCATTATTGTTGACCGTTTAATTACAAACGACGCTTGATTTTCAACTTGAAAATTTTTTTGTAAAAAAAATTGACTTTACCGATTTTTTTTAATGCCTAAGCCAATTAGTTTTTAATATTTTTTCATGTTTTATTATTCTCTGACTATCCAGCTTTAATAAAAGACCAACTATAATGAAATTAAGCCAAATGCTGATTCTCAGTAACAAAAAAACTAACTAAAGTCAAAGTCGTCAATCCGCCATGTTTGGACGCCATTTTGGGGCAGTTCGTTCACTTTTTTTTGTGGGAACATTGGCTTTTTTTTAATAAATTGTCACAAGGAACACAACGATATGCAATTTATAGGGATGGGGGGGGGGGGGGTGCACGGTAAGGGAGTCTGGCCCACAGACTATTCCCAGTCAGTCCTGCTCTTCCTCTCAGTGCCATATAAATAAAACCTGCACTTCCTATTGTAATTTTTCTTTTTATACTTATTTAACATTCACTTCAAATATTCAATCCTGCAATCAATTCTTTAGCTTAAATGTTACTTATTTCAATCTAGAAAATAAAGTTTCCATTCAAATTTATTTTTTAATATGTCAAATGTTTTTGACTTTCACACATCTATGCAATATTCTTGATTATATATTAATTCAAAATTAAACAAAAATAGAAAATATATCAACTAATTTTTATACGAAGCCTGAGTATTATAGAATTCTAGATATAACTCCAAAATATTAGTATAATCACTAATAATATCAATCTAAATTTCATCTAAACATTGTTCAATATATATATATATATATATATATATATATATATATATATATATATATATATATATATATATATATATATATATTTATACATATTGTTTATATTTATTTAAAATAAATAATTGTTCATCTCTGTTATAGACCTGTTCTGGTAACAGGAGTATCACATATCGGAGTTTGTGGAGTTTGGTGTGGACGTAATCACTGTCTTATACAAACACTTGATGGTAGAGTTTTTGGATGGGGTTCTAATGCAGTTGGGCAAATTACCAATTCTGATCTGAAGGTTCAAAGCACACCCCTGATCTGCGGGCGGGCAATGTCAGTTGGAGTTGGTAATGACTTCTCTGTCCTTTTGGATCGTTCTGGCAGTTTAAATTTGCTAACAAACGAAAGGTGAGATTTAAATATTACATAAAATTCAGTGACACAAGGTAAGAACTGGCAATGTCAAAATTTCTCACTTTCAGCAAAGAGTAATTGATATTCTGGTTGGGCAACAAATGTAAATACTTACAGTATTACATTGGTGTTATAAATGCTAATATCTAGATTTTTTTTTTGTCTATAAATGTATATTTTAAACATATTTCTTAGTTAATCTCATAATGTTTAAAAATTTACATTGCTATTTCTTGCATCACATTACATACCTAAGAAAGTAGAATTTAAGATTGTGATAAATATACAACCCTGTTCTATACCAACTGCTGTAAGGGTTCTCACATTGTGTTTCAAGAGATGGGTCATTTTATAATGTTATCTTATTAGATAGATGAAGTGTTCTTTGAACTGCTCAATAATTTTTCCTTAATCTTCTCTGATGGTAGTGATGGCCGAGAGTGTTGGAGCGCTGCCCGTTGTTCCATTCTTGTGCCTAGCAACGCTGATTCGAATCCAGCCTGGGAAGAGTTTTATTTTTTTAAATTTATTTTGTGGCGGACCCACGGAATGGGACTTGCACTTTCCACTCTGATTAGAATAGGTTTGGTTGTACCTCTAGAAGAACATAACCCCTTTTCCCCTCCACCTAGTCATTTGAAAAAAAAAAGGAGTGTACCTGATGAAGATTCCATTAATTTTCAGCTCATACTTAAGACTTTTGACCAAAAATAAATTTGTTATTCTTCAATTTTTCAATTTTATGGTTACTATCCCTGCTATTGCATATGTTGTCTCTATAGAGAGAGAGGTTTAGAAGGCTTACAAATTTTAATACTTACCAACCTCTGGACTCCCCAATTTTGATACATTTTATCCCCTTAATATATAAAATATATTTTATCCCCCATGCAGAAATGCAATAATGTAATTTTAGAAATCTTGTCTCTTTGTACATGATTTTTAATATTGTGGAATTAAAATGTCTCTTAGGGAGTCATTTGATGAATGAGTTTTTTAACTTTAATATTTTTTAAAGTTAATTTTCTCATTATTCTGAAATATTAGTTTTTCTATGAATTGATTTAAAGTTTTTAAATAATAATTGTTATTTGTGGATTTTAATTAAATATTCTTCTTTTCTCTTTGTGCACAAATTCTAATCAATGTTAGTATTTCGATAAATTTCATTTAACCTTTTTTATTTTGGGTGTGTAGGTTGGTCAACTCTTTGTTTAACCAATAAATGTTTTTTTTTTATTTTATATTATTTATATGTTATATGTTGGAACTTGCTTTATGTAATGATTCCTTGATTATTAGGTGTATATATGTGTTCATATATATATATATATATATATGATGGCCTGACTGATGGCCTAAAAAGAGATACTTAAGCATGTACCATTGGAAAGGAAGAAGAGAGGACAACCGAAAAAGAAATGGATAGAAGGTATACACAAGACTGTGATGATAAAAATAGATAATGAAAGAGCTTATCGGGTTACTACATATGACCTTAAAATGTTGTTTTTATACATATATATAATAAATACATATATATATATACATATCTATATATACATATATATATATATATATATATATATATATATATATATATATATACATATATACATATATATATACATATATACATATATATATATATATATCTATATATACATATATATATATATATACATATATACATATATATATATATATATATATATATATATATATATATATATATATATATATATATATACATATATATATATATATATATATATATATATATATATATACATATATATATATATATATACATATATATACATACATATATATACATATATATATATATATATATATATATATATATATATATATATATGTATATATATATATATATATATATATATATATATATATATATATACATATATACATATATATACATATATATATATATATATATATACATATATATATATATATATATATATATATATATATATATATATATATATATATATATATATATACATATATATATATATATATATATATATAAGTTAAGCGTCGGCGGACTCTAACAATAAAAAAAAAGAAAGGAAAGGGCTTGAAATGCAACACTCACGGTTTCGGAAAAGATACTGATTTATTCCTTTAGTAATCCTCCTTATATACATTTCATATGTTTATTTACATTCAGGACGGTATTAAGGCTGATATCGCCGGTCTCCGGTCTTTATCTCCCCCCCACCAGTTTACGAATAGGATTTTTCGGAAACTTAGATATTCCTAGATCGGAGCTAACGATTATCAGTCTTAACACCTTACAATTGTTTTTACAAGTATAAAGTTGAAAGAAAGTAAAACTCACTCGAGACATACAATAATACAAAGAAATAAAAAAAAACAGAACTAAACACAACACTTGCTTCCAAAAACAGAACTCTTAAAATCCTAAAAAAAACAGAGAAGAAAAAAAAAATAATACACTTTCCTCTACTGTATTGCTATGATTCTATTTACACATAAAAAAAAATACACCATATTTTTGCTTAGACAACCAAAAAAAAACATATTTGTTATAACGTGGTGAGGGTACTACGAATCCGTTAGTTTATGTTCCGGTTCTATCATTGGGAGCTTCAATTGTTCAATGTGAACCGTTCTCCTCTTTCTAGGTTCATTAACGCTTTCGATCGTTAGTAGATTATGCTCCCTAATAGCAATCACTCTGAATGGACCCTCGTATCGTAACAATTGTTTCCCTCTGTTGGTCCCTACTCTACGGTACACTATTGTCCCGATCTTTAGATCACCCATTTGGTCACGTACGCGAACATTCTGCCTCTCTACCCGCTTCTCCTTTTCCCGCTTAATTTTCGCCGTTACTCTTCCCCACGTCTTTTCCATCTCCACCCTATTGCTCTGGATTTGCTCGACTAATGGTTCATTAACCGTTGTTTCCCCGCAATCTCGCCTTGGCCTGCGCATCCCGAATAGTACTTCCACGGGCGAAAATCCCGTGACGGAGTGAATCGAGTGGTTGTAGGCTGTTACCGCTTTCTTCATTGCAACATCCGGCTCCAACCCTTTTTCCCCCTGATACACCCGGATGTGATCACTCAGCGTGCTGTGCAACCGCTCAATGCCGCCTCTACCCTTAGGATGTCCCGGGGTGTTATAATGCCAACGAATCCCTAGTCGTTTCACCTCCTCCCTAATCGCGGCATTGTCAAACTCCCTACCACCGTCCGATGTGATCCTCTCGGGGACCCCGTAGAACTGCACCCAGGTTTGTAGGGCTTCCGCAACTGCGTTGGCAGACTTGTCCATGACCTGGTGTGCCATAGCTACCTTGCTAAAGACGTCGATGACCGTGACCCACTTGAACCCTCTCCAGGTAAATGTATCAATCTGGAGGTCCTGTAGTGGCATATTCCCCGTCGGTGTCTCTTCCTGAATCCCTCTGGGGGGGTGTCGATCATATTTCGTGCGCATACACACCTCGCATTTCCCTATGACCTCTTGGATGGATTTTTTCATGCCCCACCAGAAATACTTTCGACGTAATGCCTGCAGTGTCTCGTTCACGCCTCGGTGGTTGGTTTTCCCCTGGTGATAAGCTAATGTGACTGCCTGTTGCTGTTCCTCATCCTGTATAGTTTCCACTGCGTACTTACAACGGATGAGTGTTCTGTCCACACCAATTCGCTCGGATCTCCACATCCGCTTTATTTTATCCCATACCGTGTTATTCCCCACATAAAGATGGTGCGTCTTTCCAGGTTCCGTGGCGTCCTTCAGTGCCGTACAAATTTGCTCTTCACTCACCCCGGGTTGCGACCAGATGACGCGAATCTTGCTTTTCCCATATCTTCGATAATCTATTTTCATCATCCCTGCTACTCTCGTTTTCCAGATTACCTGACGATGCTTGTCATTGATGATGTCGTCTATCTCCTCCATTTCCACTGCTCTTTCCTCCGCTGAGCTCTCCTCTTCCGGGGACTCTCCCCTGTCATCTATACCGACGATATCCTCCGCTCCTTCGCCGTCGGGAGTCCATTCACTCAAGAATTGGCGCACGTCTCGCGATGGTCCTCCCCCGTCCTCTTCTACCGCGTTGATCATGATGGCCCTCGAGAGCCAGTCCGCCACCACGTTCTCCTTTCCCGGCTTATACACCACCTCTATATTGTATTGACTAAGGACTTCCTTCCATCGCGTGACCCTAGCTGAGGTTTCTTTAAGTTTCCCTACCCACTGCAGGGGTTTGTGGTCGGTGTGGACTCGAAACTTCCTCCCAAATACGTATGGCCTGAAATGGTCGATAGCCCACACTATCGCGAGTAGCTCCCTCTCCAAAGCGCTGTATCGCGATTCCGCACCCGTAAGCCGACGGCTCGCGTATGCTATCGGTCGTTCACCCTCACTCCCCCCCTGGGACAAAACGGCCCCTAACGCGTATTCGCTCGCATCGGTGGTTATATTAAAGAGCTTCTCAAAATCCGGGAACGCTAACACCGGCTCTGTCAGCAACCTATTCATACATTTTCGGATATTATTCTCCATCTCTGGTGTCACCACAATCTTCGCGCCTTTCTTCAGCAAATTGTTAATGGGTACCAAATACTCTGCCATCTCAGGTACGAATCTCCGGTAGTAGTTCAGCGTCCCAAGAAGCCTACGGATCCCCTTCACGTCCCGTGGTACCGCCATCCTTGTGATCGCCTCCACCTTTGCCGCATCCGGTCTGACCCCCTCGCTAGAGATAGTGTGGCCTAAAAAATTAATCCGCGTTTGTCCCAGCAGAGACTTCTCGCTTGATAATTTCAGCCCGAATTTCCGGAGCCTCTCGAATACTGACCTCAGATGTCCCACGTGTTCGGTTTCCGTTCTGCTAAAAATCAGCAGGTCATCCATATATACCTGACATACCGAGTCATCGATACCCCTCAAAAATTCGTCCATCAGACGCTGAAATGTTATGGGCGCATTCTTCAGACCAAACGGCATTCTTGTGAATTCATAATGCCCCCTTTCGAATGTGAACGCTGTTTTGTGTTGGTCTTCCGGGTGCATCCGTATTTGGTGATATCCCGCCTTAAGGTCCAACGTGCTAAAGACCACGGCTCCACTCAACCTATCCAGTATATCTTCGAATCTGGGGATCGGGTACTTCTCGTCTACCGTGTTATCGTTCAATTTACGATAGTCTACTACCACCCTGTATTTTTCCTTATTATCCCCCGGTGCTGCCTTCTTCTTCACCGCCCACAGGGGACTATTGAATGGTGAGGTGCTATCAACTATGATCCCTTGTTCTTTTAGACTATCTAGCTCCTCTCGAATATGCTGCCTCAACGCCTGCGGGTATCTTCTCTCTTTCACGTAAGTTACCCTATCCTGCTTCAGTGGGATTTCATGCACCGTCCTCCCTGTTACCCCTAATACCTCACCTTCCCTGAAGAAAATGTCCCTAAACTCCTCCTGTAGCAACTTCCTCCAGTCCTCCACTCTGTTCACCGCCCCTATCCGCACCCTTCTTTCTCTCGCGACCCCTATACATCCGAACTTCTTCTTTCCCAACCTAACACTCCAGGCTCCTCTACGATTCCTAATGCTCGCCCCTACCTGCCCCAACAAATCGCACCCCACTATGACCTGGTATTCCCGAGTCATGTTTTTTACTACGTGTACCTTCAGTTCGCCCTCTTTTCCTGCCCACCGATCAAGTCTTATTGTCGCTTCCCCCTCTACGCTACAGGGGCCACCCAGAGTGATTAGTTGGCAATCGCATTTTTGGATCCGGAGTGCCCTCTCACTCCCGCACACTTTCCCTAACGCCCCTCTGGTCATAATAGTGCTCGAGCTCCCGGTATCCACGAGGCACTTTACTCCCCCGTCTACCTCGATAATTGGCAACCAGCATGGCTTACCTCGGATGTTGTTGCATGTTGCTGTGCGGTCGCCTCTCTGCTGCCACACTCCTCAGATGCCGCCCAGCTTCCTCCTCCCCGCCGCCGTTCGTCGCTGCTCGGTCCGTTGGCTGCTCCTGCCTCCTTCGCCTCCACTGCTACCTGGTTCGTCCGTCTCTGTCCCCGAAGTTCCCGACTCCTCGGTTGCCTCTCCCGAAGATCCGTCCTTCCGCTGTATCCTAGCCCGTCTTGTCAGCTTCTGCGTGTTTACTTCCATGGGCTCGTCTTGAGTTCTTTCTCTCCTCCGGAATATGTACGGGCACTGCCTAGCAATATGCCCTTCGGTACCGCACTCGAAACATCTAGTGCGCGGACATTGTGCAACTAAATGTCCTGGCTTTCCGCACCCATGACATTTCCTGTCTTCCCTGCGGGGTCCATTCCTCGGCCTCACTTGTCCGGATCTTTTTCACCCATCCTGACCTTTTCTCCGCTCGGCTGTACCGTTTCTCTCCTCTTCCAACCCATCGGGGCTGTCCGGGGTCGTCTGTCATTCACCCGGATCCACCCTGGTTCTTCCACGTCCATCCGAGTCTCTTCTTCCCTTGCGCTTAGGTCGATCATTTCCTGGGCACACTCGAGGAATGATCTCTCCCTGGGCAATCCGTCTCTCCTTCCCGTTTCCTTCGCCAACTGGACCTTGAGTATCGTCGAGAGGAACTCCATCCTGGCTTCCACCTCTCCCACACTCATTGTTTCGCGCATTTTCTCCGTTATGCGGTTGTACTTTGCCACTAGTACCCCCGCATACTGGCCCCTCGTCTGACGTTGGGACCGGCGCTCCCTAAACATTTGGAAGATGTCTTCCTCCGGCGTCCATCTGCCTCCTCCGAAGGCCTTCTTCAGTCGCTCCTTAATCACCGGCCATGGTGTCTCCTCATCCGCCTGAATTTGGTTCAGGATGCTCCTCCTTACTCGGCACACCAGAGCCGCTTTCAACGCTTCCGCGTCCCCTAGGTTTACCAGGTCCTCCGCCACCTTTACCTCTATTCTAGACATGAGGCGGTCTCCGCCTTTCAGGAAATGGTTGAGCTCACCTACCTCGCCACCGAAGCGTTCCAGGTCCGCAATGGCTCTTCGAAGGTCCTGCGTGGTCGCCGCTCTTATTTTCATCCATTCCAGCGCGTTAGCGTGCGCTTCTGCCAATGTGTCCCTCGGTAAGGGAGGGATCTCCTGGATCTGCGGAATCTGCGGTACCTGAGGTATTTGAGGTATCTGAGGCACCTGAGGGGCCTGCGCGATCTGAGGTATCTGCGGAATTTCTTGAGGTTGAGGGATTTCCGGGGCGCTCAACACTCCCGGCCTGATTAAGCCCTCTGTTGGCATTTCACTCTTTCCTTATGACTAGGAGAAGAAAAAAAAACCAAGAGAAAAAAAAATGACTTTAAAAAAAAATTACTTCTCTGTTCTCCTGTCGTAGTCCCGGGTTTCGGCACCAGTTAAGCGTCGGCGGACTCTAACAATAAAAAAAAAGAAAGGAAAGGGCTTGAAATGCAACACTCACGGTTTCAGAAAAGATACTGATTTATTCCTTTAGTAATCCTCCTTATATACATTTCATATGTTTATTTACATTCAGGACGGTATTAAGGCTGATATCGCCGGTCTCCGGTCTTTATCTTATATATATATATATATATATATATATATATATATGTATATATATATATATATATATATATATATATATATATATATATATATATATATATATATATATATATATATATATATGTATATATATATATATATATATATGTATATGTATTTATTATATATATGTATAAAAACAACATTTTAAGGTCATATGTAGTAACCCGATAAGCTCTTTCATTATCTATTTTTATCATCACAGTCTTGTGTATACCTTCTATCCATTTCTTTTTCGGTTGTCCTCTCTTCTTCCTTTCCAATGGTACATGCTTAAGTATCTCTTTTTAGGCCATCAGTCATCTATTATTCTCATAAGATGCCCAAACCAACTAAGGTTTTTTGTCTCAATGGAGTACAGGATGCTGAGGAGTTCTTTCATTATTAGGTTTATTATTTTACAAAAAACATTAATTTTAAGAATTGTAAAAATGTATATTTTATTTGTTAGTAGCTAAATAAATATATTTATTTTTTTTTTTCAGGAAGCAGAACCAACTTAATTTGACTCAAAACTCTCCTCTTCATAATTTAACTCCCGTAAGAGTTTTGGGATCTGGTGAAGTAATGTGTGTGATATATTCCAATTTTCCTTATAAAGAAACAACATTAGATTCAGACATTGCCCATGAACAGTGCTACTTAGAAGAATTGCTTTCTGTATATAATGGTCTCGTTAAACCTCTTAGTCGAAAGTCTTCCCTTGATGAAAGCCTTTCGAACCTTTGTTCGCGTTATACTGATTTACTTCATATGACTGCAATGATTGTATCCTCTCTTCTCCAAGGCAAAGCTTCACATGAAGTTTTAACATCTTTCCAAGAAGAAATATTGTATGTTTATGAGAATTATCTTTCAGTGGTCAGTATTTCAGTATTATGTATTTAATTTAAATATTTTAACGTTAAGTTAAAAATATACAGTTTTTATAATAATTTGTGATTTATTTTGAATATTTTCATACTCACTGGCCTGTGCCAAAGTCTAAAACGTCTAATTGTTTTAATAACTCCAATAATATCTTATTATAAATTAATGTCGCTGAAAGATCTTTAAAAAAAAATAAAAATCAAGAATGAAACTAAAGTAAATGAACTAATTATACCATGACTAATGCCTAATTGACAAATTCATTTAAATGGACAATAGTTATAGAAAATTACTTATTGACTGTTAGGAAACATTAATTTCAAGCACAATTTGTAGACATATTTAGCGCATCATTATATTTGCTGGGGGCATCTAAAGGTACAAATGTGAGTTTAATAATAAGCAGAAAAGAAATCAAACAGACTTCCACTATACTTTAGATTCACCAAATAATCCTCTATTATTGTATCTGTTATTTATTTATTTATCCTTTAATCCTGCATGCAGGGTGTTTATTTGATTCTCTTGAACTCATAATTAATCAACCTGATTGTTTTCTTGTTATATTTTTATGTTCTGCGGGTTTCGAATGACATGACATAACTTAATTCAGAAGTTTTTTCTTGAATACTATTATAATTTTATTTTAGTGATAGATATAATCTTTTATTAACTTTTTATAATAGAAAATTTCCTCTTTGAACAATGTGATGTCTAAACGCTAACTGTTTTGAAAACATGGCCTACATCCTTGGTACTACACTTCTCAAGGGCAACATTTTCATTGTTTATAAATTATTCTTATAAATGTTGGAAGAAGTGCTTGTAAAGATCAGTAGTGATTTTGATGTGCAATATTATGTATTGTGGTGTAATTAATTGATATGTGAATATTTTATTTTGGCTTTTAAGAGTTTAGAAGGAATCTTTAGCTATAAATTTTATTAAAAATCACCAAGCCAATTTCGTGAAGATAATTATACCATAGTTCTTTTTTTTTATATTTTATCTATCATAAATTATTATTTTCAATTATTCAAACGAAAAGTTATTGAAAATTTTGGTTGTTATAAATATTGAATAAATGTTTTCATTGACTCAATGAATAAGTGGTAAAAAAATTAAATTTTCAGGAGAGAAGTTAAAAATTTTGAATAATGTTGTTCATTATAGGAAGTTTGTAATATCAAATTATGTTATTAACCAACTCCAAACCACTTTCGCTTGATGTTGAAGTTAATTTAATAAACAGGTGGTGGACCAGATTCATTTATTTACTATATTAGTTGCATTATTACTAATGGTACAGATTAATAATAAAATAGACAACCAATTTTTAAAGGTAGTAATTTTCAAGTATTTATTAGCTATTGAATACAACTTTTAAGCTGATTATGATCATGTAAACATGATGAAAGTTTATATATATATTTTTATTTTTTCAATTATATCAGTCAATAAATTAAACAATCATCATTTTCATCTTTATCAAAAACCTTTTCTTTCTTTTTTAGGTTTGTGATGTTATTGCTACCAATGGATTTTCCCACATTATTCGTAATGTTGAGACTCCTTCCAGATTGACATCTTGTTTTTCTGATAGACTTCCGACAAAAAAAAATTCTCCTGAAGCTATTGTTACTTGTGCATTCACTCAGCCACTGTCACATCTTGTCGTTTATAAAGTCAGTTTTTGTTTTCTTTTTTTATTGTTTCTTTTACACTGTAATTATTCCTGGTAATATTCATGAAATTAGAAATAAGAAGGTTAGAAATAAAATAGTTTATATTTAAGGAGAGCAGGTTATTAGCCCACTGCTCCTGAGTCAAATGGAGGGGTTGCCTCCTCGGAGTACCCTGACTAGCTCCTCTTCCTTCCCAAGGAAGGAAACCCTAGGATGAGTAGTGTAGGTATCCTTGTGTCAGTTTACATGTATAGTGTAGTGTTATGTGTGTATTTGTGCAGTGTACTGAACTCAGGTACCTGGAGGGGCATTAATCCCCACGAGCTATGCACATGGCTAGCCCCTGCAGGTCAAGGCGACAATATTGCTCATTTAGTTATAACCGGAGGGCACATGTATAATGTATGGATGCGAGCAAAGTTACCCAATTTTTTAAGAAGTTTTTTAGTTTAAGGTTTCAACAGTGTTTTATAAGGAAGAGAATAAGAATTGGCAAAAGCGACAGGCAGCAGAGAAAAAATGGAATCTTTAATAGAGGAGCCGATGAAACAAACAAAAAATAGGAAAGAATCGGTGGCAAATTTCCGCACAACGACAGGATACAATTACCTGCAAAGAAATTTACATAGAATTGGAGTGATGGAAAGCCCTGTGTACCCTTTTTGCCAACAGGACGAGATGTACGACCTGCACCTCTCAGTTTGCCCCGCACTGTCAGATGTCCCCAGTAATTCTGATGGGATCGGCACAAATTCAAGCAAAGAAATCATGGCGGAATTGTATTGGGCTGCTAGGAGCCGAATGGCCTTATAGCCAACAGCAGAGGCATTAAATAAAAAAAAATTTTTTTTTAAAAGTGTTAATATAAACTTAATTTAAGAGGACTTGATCCTCTGACCTGCGAGAAATGTAATGTACAAAGAACAGTAAAGTACATTTTACAAGACTGTCCTACACTGAAAACTATCTGCGAAGATTTGGACCAACTCTATTAGAAAATTTAAAAGACATCGACAGAGCAGTTAAAAAAATCATTAACATAACTAAAACTGGTGAATCTCTATAATAGAGTTTAATTTGAAAGTATTGCCAATGATCCTGTAGAGGCAACAAGAAAAAAAACGATAAATAAAAACTGAATAGTTTGGAATAAAATAGTTTTGCCACTATTTAGTCTATTTATGACCGCCACCCCGGACCATTTCCTTCCTTGATAAATAAAAACTTATTTCTTTTGAGTTAGTTAATAAATTTTAAATAAAACATCTGATTGTTTATTTTATTTTTCGTTTGTGTTGAACAATACAAATTTGTCAATGTTTAAAGTTGGAACTCAGCAAGCATTCTACCCTCCATGCTTCCTTCTCCACCCCTCTCTCATAAACTTAATTCTAGAATTAAAATATGACATTTTATGGTTTCTGATCAAACTAATATAAGTAATGCCTTTTATCTGAGACCGTTTTTCATAGGGAATGGTAACCCGTGGTGGATGTGACGGAATTTGGAGATGGGAAAACTTGTTAGAACTTCAAGAGGGTAAACGAAAGGAAGCCGAAATGACTAAACTGTTTTGGGATAATGCTGGCAGACTATCAGATATTTTAAGGTGATTTATATACTAGTGCTAAACTATGAATTTATTTTAAAGAAAATCATATAATAATAAAAAAAAGAAGTCATATTAAAATATACTTAAACGATAATGTATTAATCCTTTAATATGCATCCATCCGTGCATCCATGTATCAATACTTTGATCCCAGATTGCTCTAGTAATCACATGGAGTATTTTCCTCTGAAATCTCTAATTACTTCTTTCTGTGGTGCTGTTTACTGTCCAGGTCTTGCAGCCATTTATCGGGATTGACTTTATCATATCATTGTACATGTTGCAGCCAAAATAAGTTATTTTATTTTAATTTATTGTTTGTTTGCTTTCATACCATTGTATGGCAAACCATTTTATTTTAAAAACATTACTGACCCCATCCATGGGTCTGAGGTTTTATCGCCAGGAAGAAAAACTATTATTTTCCTAATAATACACCTCACATTGAAGTTAAAACTGTAACTTGGACACTTCTTCATGCTTACTCATAAGAGTTATAAAAACTTATAAAAGTGCTCTGATTGTCCCAGTGGCTAGCGTGCGAACTTAATATGGTAAAGATTCCCGGTTGAAGACTGGTTCCTCTATATTCTTTTTTTTCTCTTATTATATAAAAATGTAGTTTTAAATTTATATACATATATATGAATTCTATATATACAATTTTTTTAATAATACTAAGTTAATTTATCAATTATATCAATTTCTATAACTCAAATTATTAAATTTGTAATTATTCATCATTTCCATAAATAGTGGGATTTTATTAATGCAAGTAGATCTATGGATTTATTTTTAATTTAGTTTACTGTTTACAACTATAATTTTAGTTGTTGAGGTATTTTTGTTTCTTTCATTATTTTGTAGTAAGAGAAATATCCTTAATTTGTTCATTTTGTTTGCAGCATTTATTATTTAATTTATTGATTTTAGTTCAATATATGAATTACTGCTATTCAGTATTTCATTCATACACATTTATCTTCTTAAATTTTAAATTCATATTATTTTAACATTTTAAAATAATTTAATTAGCAAGGCACCAGTGCCTATGGAAAAGGTTGAGCAGATTTGGCTGTTTACATTTGAATGCAACCTGCCACCACAGTACATCCTCTATTTGAGATTTCTAGAGATTTATTGGGATTTCAATTCTTTTGTAATAATCTACTGAATGACAACTATCATTTTAGGAATCATACAGCTCATTCTTAACTATTTGTTTATTTTAACTAATTACATTCTATTTTTAGGACTGCTAAAAGAAGAATCATTAAAGATTCTCGGTCGAATCCTCTATCACTGCAGAGTGCTTCTCGCTTTTCATCGCATTGGTTCATCCTGCTGTCAGATGCATTCATACATGTGTCAGGAGGATCTCACACTGTTCATAATTTAGAAATCCTTTGGGTTGAGTTGCTCAATGATTCTGATAATAATCAGGTATTTATTTTTTATATGGCTTCAATATTTGTGAATATCTTATCTTTTATGAAGTATCTTTGCAATTTTAACTTTTAGGATTACATTTTTAAAATAAGGAGAAAAATTTATTTTTTGCATTAATTTAGACATCTTTCGGACTAATACTTTTGCTATGAAACTTTATTATTTTGGGCAAGTCTTAATGGAAATAGTTTCTTAGTTGTTGCATTAGATGTTATTGCTAACATAAATACCCAATGAAGGTTAAATGTTATAGAGATTATTGCTAATCCTATGTAATAAATTTAACTTTACTCATCTGGAATTATTTTTAGATCTTTATTTTTATTTGGATTTACTTCAATAATTTTGATTTTATTGAACACTAATATATATTTATATAAAAGTTAAGTATATTGTGGTTATTTTGGGAATTTCAATGTAGTGTGATACACTAATCTTCTCACTTCTCCAGTGGGATGCCTTGGTAGATAAGTACCTGGTGGGTACTGAAATTCGAAGTGCAATCCTTGTTTCAAAAAATTTTTTCTGCAACTTTTCAGAATGTATGTAAAAGTTATGTGTTGAGGATATTATCAGCTAAAAGCTAACAACTTGTTTTTAAATACTTCTCTAATAATTAAATACTTTATATTAAATACTTAATCTTAAATACTTTCTTGGATAATAATTTTATGAATGTTAATGTGATCTAAAACTATATTTTTTAGCTTGGATTTTTTTTTATGGCTATTTACAATGGGTCATCATGCATATATATTTTTTATATTATAGCAGAATACTATCACAATCACTCTACCTGAAGAGACATTGACATTAATCACAACAAGTCATCTTGATAAAACTGAATGGTATCATGCATTTCAAACGACGATTAAAAAACTCCTGAACAAACCAGCTATGCCATTGGCCAGAACTGCTTCGTACACTTTTCTGAAGCATGCCACTTATAAAGATGCGAAGTATACAGGTGATTAATTATGTAATAACAGTAAACATGTATTATTCAATATTACCGACATTTTGCAGCTGTGAATAGTCTTTAGCGCATGAATATAAATGTGTATAGTATTTACTAATAGAATGGTTTTATGATGTTGAAGGTCGTTGGCTTTCTGGAAAGATGCATGGTAGTGGAAAGTTGGAATGGCCAGATGGAAGGGTGTTTACAGGACAGTTTCACAACAATCTTTGCCATGGCTTTGGTCGGCTTGAAGTCCCTGGAGTTTCTGTTTATGAAGGGCAGTGGAAGGATGGTACTGAAAATGGTCATGGTGTTACAAGGTAATTATTTGTTTTTCTTGACATTTTTAGCATGGAGCTATTGTTGGCTGTGGAATTCTCTATTTGCTTGAATACAGTTTGACTCAGAATATAATTTGACCCTCCAATTTGAATATACTTTATGTGAAAATTATGAGAAGGGAAAAATTAAACTATCAATTAAAAATTAATTTAATTTACAAGGATGGATCAAATATAAACGAGATTTTAATTTTTTAAAAATGAGCTTATTGAAAAACAAAAGGCAATTTTAATTTATTTTTAAAAATAGTTTCCAGTTTTTTATTGCATTGCTCATGTAAAAATACCTCAACAGTAAAAAAAAAAAAAAAAAAAAAAAAAAAAAAAAAAAAAAAAAAAAAAAAACAGTTGAAAGAAGCTTACTAGTTGATAGTTGAGTTTTGACTTTCACTGGGACTGACTCCACTTTCTCCCATAGCCTCTGACAGACCTCCAAACTTCCTAATTTCTGATTTTTAGTCAAATGTCAAGGGGCCCCTTTGACACACTTTACGGAACTGTCAATTGTTTTGAGCGCTTGGCAGCTCCCATAACTTATTCTGACCTGTTCTGGAATTTATGATTCCCTCATCTGTTTATCATCTTCAAAAATGTGACTTGAACAAAAATTCTCAGGTACGTGTTACTTCAGCTTGACGATGTCTTTGATGTCAGCAGAAGTGTTTGATGTCAGTTTCTTTTTTTGTTTCTGTTGTCAGCATCTGATTTTAAGTTTAAAACATTATTTGCTTTGTCCAATACATATTGTTTAGGGATCAACTCCTGAAACACAAAAAATAACTAATCAAAACAATTGTACAATTCAGAACTTAATCACCATTTTATGGCCTCCATTTTTCTGCAAACCATTCCTGTTCAGTTAATTTGTTCATTTTGGTGAAGTGTGCACACAGTAAGGTACTCTCTTAAGAAATCACAAGGAAAGAAAATATGAGTTCCTAAACTTTAAGAGAACAACTTGGTGGAAGAAGTATGGGGAGGAAGAAGAGGTGGCCAAAACTATGAAGCTCAATTTCAGACAGCAAATGAGTCCAAATTGACAATTAAATTTCAATCAAGCAATAATCACTTCTAACATGACAATATCGAACTAAAATTGTAATTTCACAATCAGCAATATGTGTTTTTCTGTAAAGAACCACAAAATTTGTACAAAGGCACAAATCTAATTTATTTTATTTTATTCAATTATATGCAATATAATCATGTTCACAATATTTTGTTTAATTTAATCAAGCATCAAATCTCAGTGATCCAACCTCATACAGTCCATACCAATTTTCACAATCACCGGCGCAACATAATTCACTTACAGATCAATGGGTAATATTTGGCTCACACCAAATTACCGTGATCGAACACATATCAATGTATATAAACTGATGATTAGGTTACTTTATGTTTGTCATTCTAACCTTGGCGGTCCTTCCAACATTTTTTAGGTTTTGGACATTAATGTTTACATATATTATTATGAATAAATATAACTGCAATTATTAAATTCTATTCAATCGTTCATGAAATATGTTATTTCTCAATACATCCTTTTATCATTGGTTAGTATATAGGAATTATGCACGTAAAAAGAGGTATTTATAAAGAAATCAAAATAAATCTAGTTTATTAAATCATTTCTTTAATTTTATACTAGTCTCAGACACAAGAGGATTATTTATTATGAAAATAGGAACATGACATTGACAAAGTTGGATGTCATTGTTAAACAATTGTGATAATAATGGGAAATCACTTCAATTCAGCATTCCATTAATCGGACATCACTCAATCCTGCTTCAAGTACACTTCACAAAGTTAAAGATTTCTGAGATTATTATTGAATATAATATTTGAGGAGTTGATAGCAAGACACCTACTATTCAAAAAATAAAAAATTTCAGGAATATAAAAAAACCTGTTATCTTAATCTCATTTATGACTAAAATTTTGTTATTGTTAAAATAAACACTGTAGGCATCAGAAATGGTATCGGTACCAATGCTGAGTTGTCAAAATGCATCCTCTGGCCTAGAGGAAGAAATATGCTGGGAGTTGTGGGATTTTTACAAAAATCCACATAAACCTGACAATTTGAAGGTCCTTCATTATGTCCTTATCAGTTGAAACTCTTTTTATTTGTTAAAATGACTATCCATTCATTATGTCCTTATCAGTTGAAACTCTTTTTATTTGTTAAAATGACTATCCAACAGAAATATTAGAAAAATGAGCAAATCATAAAGTAGTAATCTTCACATACTTCACTATTGTTGTCATTGTCAGTTTCATATCCATGGTTTTGTGATCGGAGGGGGATGCTTCAGTGGTGGGAAACAGTTTCATGTAGAACTCTTTTCTCGCTGGATTTTCGAGGTACTCAGTAAGTTTTAAAACATCCTTAGTGAAGAACTTCCTGAATTGGTTTTTTTTTTTTGCCAAATCACAGTGTTTTCCATGTTCTGTACAACCTGATTGCTGAAGTTTTTTTTCATGTGAGAAATGCCGAACACAACACAATGGTATGTATGGTGGCTTAAACAAATTTTTGAGTTCTGTGACTAGTAAGGTTTTTGCTATAAATCCCTCATTTGTAGTTGAATTAATTTTACTTCGCACATTGATTATCACTAAATTCACTGAATATTGGTTTCACTTTGTCTCATAAGGATAAAACCAGAAGTTATGATTGGCTGATATCTGTTCAGATCTTGATGTCTATGATCTCTTTAATCATTATGTCAAACTTTATTCTAATATCTATTAGTTTGTAGTATAACTTTAAAAGAATTGAAAATTTGTTAGTTTCTTAGAATCAAGTTTTTTTTTTTATTTATTATTTTTATTATATTATATATTATTTTATTTATTATTATTTTTTCTTTATTTATTTTTTCAGGTATGAAAATGGAGATATATATATCGGTTATTATAAGGATGGACTTGAAAATGGACATGGAGTAAGAAAAACTGGAAGGTTCACGTCTTCTCAGGCATCTGTCTACGTTGGAGAATGGCTGTTAGGGCAGAGACATGGTTATGGAGTATTAAGCACAATAGCAACTGGTAATAATGATTTATTGATATCAACAATGATCTTTGAACTGTGCTATATAATGCTTATAAGACTCTAGATAATTTCATGTTATAGGGTGACTATAGACAGGGAAAAATGTGAAAAGTCATTTCATTATTTTTGGTTTTTAAAAAATGCAATAAAAACTTGATTTTGAAACTTGAATTTAAAAAAGTAAAAGTAAAAAATAAAGTAACGATTTTTTTTTTTTTTTTTTTTTTTAAATCCGCCAAATCATCCAATGTATTATATATTTTAGATTTGTGTTAAGCTTATCTCTTACTTACTTCTCTGAATATTTGTTACAGTCAATAGATTTTGTTTAGAACTTTTTTTTTCATTGTATATATAAAACTTATTGTAAAATGATCAAAATTTATAGCTCAATTTAAAGTTAATTAAATATACTTTAAACTCTAAAATGATTAATTATATAATTAGACACAGTAAACAAGATCAATTTATGTCTTATGAAAGATTGCCTATTCCAAGCCTCTACCAATGAAATTGCATAAAATAGATAATTTATTTAAATTGTCATCATAATTTTAATTGTAACTCTCAATATATTTATAAAATGAAAGTGAATATGAATAATACAATTTTCTCAGATAATATCCTTTTCTCAGAATTTCATTATGTACCTCGGGAATTTGCAAATTCAGTAATCTTTCTACAGAAGATAGTAATAATTAGTTCTCATCTCCCTTTCATTGCCTCCCCGCTTTTTCCCTGTAAGTAGAATTATTATTTTTTTACATTGGAGATGAAAAAATAATGTTTTGTGGCATTGATATTCTAATGTTTAGACAATACTCAAGTTTGTTTTAACTTAGAATTTTCATCTTTCTGTCTCTGTGTGATTTGATCTATTAACAAGTTAGCTGCAGTTACAGTTCCTATATTTGTCTCTATTTCGGCCGGGATTGTTTCAAATTTTGCCTATCTTATGAGTCTCTAAAATTCTAAAATGATCATTATAAAAAATATTTGAATGGGAGTTGGATAGATGAAAAGATAGATACCAACATAAATAATCATTATATCTGATACAAAGCTATAGGACGCTGGGGTCCGTAACTGCAGCTAACGTGTTAATAAATATTTTTGAATATTGTGACTAAAGATTTGATTGAATTTCTCCTTTTTTCTCACATTCTTATATTGGAGGGATTTAGGAAATGTTTGAGAGAATTCAGGGAATCTGACTGGTGGAGTCTTGTAGACACCCTGGTATTTGGAGAATTTATGATTATAAGAGAAGCTTCTAATGGAAAAATTTAATATAATCCAAGATCTTCCCAGTGTACATGAAACAAAATTTTAGTGTATTATAAGCTTAGGATTATCTCTAGTGTTATAAAATTTTATGCTAATTGTATACAGTTTGAAAGGAATAATAATGCACAAAATTGAGTTATATTTAATAAATTTGAGATATTAAAGAAATATGATATATTAACAAAATAATTCCCAAGAATAATTTTTTTAGGTGAAAAGTACCTCGGATGTTGGAGTGGAAACATGAAGAGTGGCTCTGGTTTGGTTGTAACAATTGATGGAATTTATTATGAGGGAACATTCAGCCAAGATGTCCTTACAGTGAGTATACACTTTTATTATTAATTAAATAGTTTTTTCTAAGCTCTGTCCACAGTAAAATGAGGTTGATTGGTAGTTTCAGTTTTTAACATAAAGTACACAAAGAAACCATTGTTGTCTGACTTTCACTGTTTTCTTTTCAGGGCCATGGAATCATGGTGTTTGAAGACGGTACTCATTATGAAGGTGAGTTGAAACAGACAGGTGTGTTTGGTGGAAAAGGTGTTCTCACTTTTCCTAGTGGAGACTACATTGATGGAACTCTGCATGGATCTTGGACTGAAGGGATCAGAGTCTCTGGACTTCTTCATAAAGCTAATCCTTTGTCATCACCCCAACAATCTTTCACACAACCAAAGTTAGTCGTTAACCTCAATACCTACCTAAATACTTAGTCTAGTCAATCAGTAGTAAAAGACAATATCAATAAGAAAAATTAATAATTTCCTAAAATCTACTTACTACTTACTTTTTCTCTGTTCTTCTCTACCTCATCTTTTAGGCTGTACGAGATTTTTCCGGGCCGGAGTGTGAGGGCGGGGAATTTAAAATTCTATCTGCCACCGGGACACCAACTCGTATATTTTTAATCTCATAACTTTGGTTATCTGGTTGCAGGGCAACTCGCGGTGCTGTGCACACATTTTAGCCCATTCGGCCACCTTGTCCCCCAACACTTTAAATGTTTGAAGGATGGCACCTTCCCCTCCTTGGCTGCAAATGATCTGCTTTGAAATATAGAAAATATATTTGTCACTACTTACTGACTTACTACGTAGCTCTACAGCTCGGGGTGGGTTTTGGCTTCCCTGACAACATTGTACCAGTTCCTTATAACGAGGTTTTCTAGGTTCTAGTCCTTTCCACATCCTGAATCCAACGTCTCCGAGGGTGTCCTCTCCTTCTGGTACCATACATCTTTTCAAGCAGAATTCTTTTTCGCATTCTTGATTCATTCATCCGTGCTACGTAACCCAACCATTCGATTCTACTTGCTCGTATAAAGCGGGCAATGTCACAAGATCCATATCAATAGCTTATATATTTTGCTGTTCTTCCAGATTCCATTCACCCTTTTTCAATTCAGGTTCATAAATTTTTCGGATAATTTTCCTGTCGAATATTTTCAACGCCTTTATTGTGGGATTGCAAAGGATCCAAATTTCTGCAGAATATGTCACTACTGGTCTTACCAATGTTTTATGCAACCTTACTTTTTTAATCAATTTCCAAAAATCTAAAAGTTATATGTCAGATGGCTTACATATTCAAAAGTTTTACTCAGATATTTTTTAATGGCCTACATATGAAAGAAAGAACCACAAGTTGATTAGTCTAGTTTGAATGTACTTTTAGGCAGAGTTCACACCTGATTGGTAAGGCCTTCATCACATTAGAAATAATATAAACAATTTTTATCTTAAGATAGCTCATTATGAAAACATAAGGTTCAAACTAATGATAAGAAATAGCAATAAAAGTTTGTATCATTAATTATGAGTTCTTCATCAAGTGAGGAAGAAGTTGTTGTGAGCTATTAGTATTTCAGCAGGAGAAGAAGTAGGAATAAGCAGTAGGTAGTTCCATAAAATATAGTGCATGCAAAACAAAGTTCTGCCATAGTTACAAGAGAGCTGTCTCAGTATCCATCTAATTTTCGTAAGCGCATCAATTAAATCCGGGATCAGTGAGTAATTCCAAAAGCATGAATGTGATTGCACTTTCTAAATGGAAGAAATCACAAAGCTTATGGTCTCCTCCTATGGTTTTGCACTTAGAAAACTGGTAGAAGAGATAAGCAGGCCATATTTCTTGATACCAAGTATTTTACGATAGTTGTTGAAATTGTACAGGTGTGAACTCATTTTATCATTCCTTATGTTTTTAATGGATCCTAGCAATGTGTGTCTCATTAGCTAATTATCATATATCACAACCTAAGATATAAAAACCATACTTTCATTTTAACTATTGATTGATTTCAAAAGCCAAATTAAATATCAATAATGACTGGTAACATAATAGTTAAGAGTCAGACATATTTTACTTATGTGTTTAGGATTGTTTTGAACCATTTCACTTTGATTTCACTGTTTTTGTTTTTAGCTGAAAATGTGGTTTGTATGACTTACTTATTTGGTTTCTCTAATCACTAATTAATTTTAAATTGGGCTTGCATAACAATAATAGTTGATAAAGTGAAACTATATGTAAAAATAAAGAATCTATCTTCAAGATATGAATAATATTGTTTAGTATTTCTAATAAAAGAAAAAATGATTATGAATTGTTTATATTTTATTAAAACAATATATTTTGATCGGGATGTTAAATGTTAAAGTTTATTGTTACAGATCTTTTGGTGATCTGTGTGTTGGGGCTGATTTGAAATGGAAAGCTATCTTTCGACAGTGCTGGGGGCTTCTTGGCTCTAGCGGTGAGAGTAAAGGTATTTGACTTTTGTTAATTGAATTTATGTGGTATTACATTATTGTAGTAAGTATTTTTTTGTTGTAAACTTTTTATTTATTTAAATATATATACAGCTATGGATACTCAAAGGGCTTGGGAAAATGTGGCAATAACACTAGGTAGTCGCCAATCCATACGTCATTCTGAGCTGTTGCAGACTACCCCACAATTTGGTAGAAGTAGCCTGGATCTTCAATCTTACCACCAAATTATTGATTATTTGTCTCAGGTAAAATGAATTTATCAATTACTTAATCTATTTTTTATTTATAGATTTCTAAATTCATGAAATTAAACTTTTTTTTTGTTAATATAGTTTTAAGTATATGAAACATGTGAAGTCAAGAATAATTCTAATAGTATTATTATAACTATTGTTAATCATGATAATGGATATATTGTTGGTTCTTCAGCTACTTTGGAAAGATAATAATAAAGGGAAAAGAATGATAAAAACAGGAAACAGAGACATCCCTTGGGATCCCGAAGATGAATTGTACAAAGCAATTTATCAAACGTTTTAGTTTCGCCTTCATTTCCCAGAGATTCCCAGAGACGCCTCCATATACCGTGCAGCAATAATTAAAGTGGGGAAATATTAATGAGGTGACTAGAAGTCTACAGGTTTCAAAAGGAAATAGATGACGGAGGCTATTTAAATGTTTTAAGGTGGAAATGGTACGTCTGGAGATATTGTTTTTTCCAGAAAAGGGTTTGAACAAAGAATATTTCAAAGTTTTTGTTGGGATTATCATGTAGAAACAAGATTGGAATGTTGGGAACAGTTTTAAAGAGGTATTGAAGCCTATTAGGATTCTGTCCTTTCCGCATTCAACTTTAGCTTGTTAGTTCCTGCCCAGTCACATATTCTATTTAAGTCTTCTTGAAGCTTTTTAATGACAGTTAATAGGTCAGAAGGAGTATAAAATATACATAGTATACTAATATACATTGTAGGAGTAGAAAATTGATTGTTAGTTTTAGCTGATTTTTATTTGTTTTATAATTATGTTCTTTTCATTTTCTCGTTAGTGGACATCTGTCTGTATTGGGCAAAATTTAAAGAAATTTCACTTTATTGTTAACTCCAAGTACTTCCATTTTTTTATATATCCAGCTTGTGTGTTCCCCGTTGTATTAATACACCCAAAATTAATGCCATTTCTGCTAGAACCTTACATTTTGTATCCATCTGTACTATTTTTTTTTTTTTTTTTTATTTATTGAATAATAATACATGCAGCCACTGCTGGAGGGCTATAAGCATTAGGGCTAAAAGTTCTCATTCATACAATATATACAAATAATAAAGAAATAAATATAAATATAAGAAGTAAATAAATAATACTGATGAAGAAGATAAATAAAAAGAAAAGAAAAAATAATAATAATAAACAAATAAAATAAAATAAAAACTTCTAAACACAATCATAACTATATACAATATATACATTCGCCCAAGAATCTCCGAACCAGGCTTTTTCCCCCACACGTGGAAGGCAAAGCAAGACTCCGGAAGATCCCAGCGCCACTTTTCCAGCCGCATCACTAGTATTAGAAGCCAGTGGAGACTGGAAGAGGGCACTAGAGCCACAGACGCTCAGGACATGAGTGGAGAAGCTGGCCATTGCCAGGACTCCAAAGGCATATTTACAAAAGATCTCGAGGCCACTGCCGTTTCAACCTTCGAGGGGGATGGTATGGATGCTCGGAGCTGGATAGGGATTGGGCTAGAGGATTGGGATGATGTATGAGGTTCTGGTGAAAGTTGGAGAATCTGGATGGGATGATGTCATGGACATATGGGATGTTAAGGTCATGGTGTAGGGTCTTGTTCGTGACATAATATGGAGCATTGACTATTGTTCGAAGGACTTTAGACTGGAAGGATTGGATGCGTTTGATATTCGATGATTTAGTTGTCCCCCACAGCTCAAGTCCGTAGGTCCAGATAGGTTTCAGTATGGTCTTGTAGATTAATAATTTGTTTTCTGTTGAGAGATGAGATGTTCTGTTTAGTAGTCTATATAGCTGACCAAATCGTCGGTTAAGCTCTTGTCTTTTAAGTCTCGTATGTGGGTTCCAAGTCAGTCTTTTGTCCAGAAGGAAGCCAAGGTATCGGACTGTGTCTGAGTAGGGAAGAGGAATTGAATTAAAAAGGATTGGAGGACAGGATCTGCGTCGAAGAGTGAAAGTTACATGTTTACATTTTGATTCATTAATTTTGATGCGCCAGTTGTTGCACCACTGCTCAATGAAGGAGAGGTGTCTTTGCAGGTTCCGGGACGCAATTAGAGGATCCGAGTGGGAGGATAGGATGGCAGTATCATCAGCAAATGTTGCTAGGAAGGTATCAGGACTTGAAGGGATGTCAGCGGTAAAAAGGATGTAGAGAACTGGGCCCAAGACACTGCCTTGTGGGACACCAGCCTCAATTGGATAATGTTTGGAGAGTTCAGTGCCGCAGCGGACTTGAAAGGAGCGATTTGAAAGGTAGGATTTGAGGACTAGATACAAGGGTTGAGGTAAATGGGTTTTGAGCTTGAAAAGCAAGCCATCGTGCCACACCCGGTCGAAAGCTTGAGCTACGTCCAGAAAGGCACCAGTGCAATATTGCTTGTTTTCAAGTGCAGAGGATATGTGGTCCACAACGCGAAGGCCTTGTTGGACAGTAGAGTGTCTTGAGCGGAATCCAAACTGATGGGAAGGGATATTGTGGGATTCCAGTATGGGTAGGATGCGTTTGAGAAGGATTTTCTCAAAGATTTTGGAAAGGATCGGAAGTAAGCTTATCGGTCTATAGGATGATGTACAATTAACAGGTTTACCTGGTTTAGGAAAGAGGATAATTATGGAGTGTTTCCACACCAGAGGAAAGTGGGTTGTGCGGAGGATACAGTTGAATAGGTATGTAAGGAATATAATTGCTTTTTTGGGAAGTTGTCTGAGGAACTGGGAAGTAAGGAGATCGTGTCCTGGAGATTTGCGAGGTTTTAGGTTCTTTAAAAGGAATTTGACCTCAGAGGGGTTGACGGCTTTAGGAGGTAAGGAGAGAGGAATCGGTGAAGAGAGGAATTCTTTAACTTCAGCAGTATGGGAGGGATGGAGTTCAGAATGAGGAGTGAATGTGTACGATAGATGTTTAGCAAACTCTTCTGCTCTATTCTCATCTGACGAAGCCCAGGAACCATCATCACGGCGGAGGGGGTGGGAAATGGATTGGAATTTAAGGATTTTTTTAGTTACATTCCAGAGGGAGTTATCACTTGCAGATAGTGAGGAAAGATAGGAATTATAGGATTGGGATCTAAACGTAGCCAGTTTTTGTTTTACCTGCTTGGAATAATAGTTATATGATTTCCGATCATCAGGATGCCTGGTTCTTTGCCAGAGGGTCCTAGAGCATCGTTTTCTATTAATAAGGTCCAGTAGGTCTTGGGGTAGAGGATTTATTTTGCGGTATTTTTTAGAAGGATAAGGTGAAGATGCAGTCCAAACTGCTTGTTGGATCAAGGTAGTCATGGAATATACTGCTTCATCTAGGTCTGCGGGTGTTTTTAAGGAAACTCTGAGGTCAATATTATCATCCAGTATTTGACGGAAGAGGTTCCAATTAACTGGCCCCCTGATAAATGAAGGTGGAGGTGGTTTGGGAATTGGTGATGTGGAGACCGTTAGGATTAGGGGACTATGGTCTGAGGAAAGATCATCAAGTCTTGAGATGCAATAATGAAGGGACCCTAGACCTTTGTGGATGAAAAAATCTAGGAGATCGGGATTGCGGTTAGGATCTGTTGGCCAGTATGTGGGAGAATTGGGTGAGAGGATGTTGCTGTGATGGGAATTAAGTGCAGATAGCAATGTTCGTCCTCGGGAATTTGTGGTTCTGGCTCCCCATTGCTGGTGTTTAGCATTTAAGTCTGCACCTAGAAGGAAGTGGTGTCCTAAGGAGTTAAGGAAGGAAGTTAATTGGGATTCTGAGATGGGTATTTTAGGCGGGGAGTATGCTGCGACTACTGCTATTGGGTAAAGGGAAGTTTGGATTATCACGGCAGTGGATTGTAGGAAATTATGGGTTAGCAAAGGGAATAGATGATGGGAAAGGGATTGATGGATAATTATGGCAGTACCAGCATGTGCTGTTCCATCAGGATGGTCGGTTCGATAGATATGATAGTTGGGGATGTTAAGTGGTCGTTTGTTGGTAAGTCGAGTTTCAGTTATTAATGCTATATCAATGTTTTTGTCCTGTAATAAGATTGTTAGTTCGTTGACGTGATTTCGAATACCATTCGCATTCCAAAGGAGAACGGAGAGGGATTTGATTGGGGGCATTTAAGGATTTCTCGACAGTGGGATGAGGTTGGATACAACATTGGTAAGCAAGGAAATGAGAGGAGTGATGAGTGACCTGAATTCAGAGAGGAAAGAAGTCAATAGGCTTGTGAGGTCAGTGGCATTGGGAGGAGGAGGAATGAATGTCTGGTTATTAGGCCTAGGTTCAGAGATGGGATAAGGGTCTTGTGGTTGAGATGTGAATACTCGAGGTTGAGGTTCTTGTGGCAGGGCCTGAGTTTGTGTGGGTGCAGTGTCTCCTTTGAACATCTGAGCATAGGACACTCTTGTATTTACAGTTCTAGAGGGTTGTCTTGGTGGCCTGGATGGCCGTTCTTCTCTTGGAGCTGCATAAATTCTTGCTTTCAGTTCCTTATATGTTTGGGAACCCTTGTAGTTCGCTGGGTGCCCTTGGTGGCATAAAGCGCATACTGCTGGTGTTCTTCTGGACTTCTGGCAGTCCTCAGTTTTATGTTGATCACCGCACCTGACACATCTAGGAATGTGGTGGCAATAGCGTTTCGTATGACCATAAGCCTGGCAGTTATGGCATTGTACAATGTCGCGCTTAGTGTAGGGCTTTTCTACAACAATGCTAGTGTAATAAAGGCGTGTGACCTTGTAGATTTCTTCGACCTGGGGCGTTCGGTCAAGGTCAACGAAGAATAGTGGGAGCGGTATTTTATTTTTTGTACCAGGCTGTTCTCTATCTTCCTTGAATATATTCACTATTTGTCGAACACGGAACCCCATCTCAGTTAGTTCTTCTTTAATGGCATCCAGCGGTGTTGATGGGTGTAATCTCCTGATCACCACCCTGAGCGCTCTCTCTTGGCGCAGTTGATATGTGTGATAATCCGCCTTATCTGTACTATTAGAAATAAGACAAGTAAAAATACTTGTCTAAATATTTGTTTGTTTTTTTGTAGGCTTTCGAAAGTACTCATCACCCTTTAGGAAGAGCGCTTAGTGAATTAGTAGAAGCTTATACTACAACATATTCTGGAGTTGTTCATCCACTTCTACTACCACAAGCAGTTGCTGAACTCCACTCTATTACACTTCGGATTTATCAACTTGTACGACTTTTATTTCCTGCTCTTCCTGGCCATACTACTCAACTTTATCTTGGTGATAATTCACAGTAAGTTTTATTTTTTAAATTTTGATTTCATAAAGAGAATGGAACTCCTTTGTTTAGATCAGCCAAGGGAACTGCTTCAAAAATAAAAAAAAATCATTGTAAAAAATCTATTCCAGATATATTTTAAATAAAGATGATTTTAAGATTTGTATTGAAATAGTGGTGTATAGAGAATTATTGAAAAAAAAAAATAATAGGAATGATAAGAAGGGGTTAAGAACGGAATTGCCCTTGGTCTATCCTGCACTTTGCTATAGCTTATTTTCAACTTGCCAAAAATGTTGAATATTTGCTGAGCCTTTAATTGATTAAGCTGAAAAATGTGAATTCCTAAGAAAATGAATTGGGTTTGGGTTTTATAAACAAGTATTGGAGGACTTATTGTTGTCTTGTTAATGAGGTTCTACTGCAGTTGTTAGTAAATCTTTGATTCTTTTCAGAGATGTCGCTAGCATGACAAATCTTCTTCATCCTATCATACTTCCAAAATTGTATTCATCACTGGTTCTGCTTTACTCACTCCACAATAAAAATGAAGATGATACTTACTGGAAGAGGCTTCTCAAATGGAATCGTCAACCCGACACTACATTAATGGCATTTTTAGGAATTGATAAGTGAGTTATTTAGTCTTCACCATATCTGAATTGAAATCTATATAATGTAAAATTGAGAAGTTTATTTACTAAAATTGCTTTTGTACTTGCAGGAAATTCTGGAAAGAGGATATTTTTAGTATTGCGGTTGAAACACTTCAGCTTTTAAAAACAAAATTTTCCCCAATGGAGAAATTGATAGTTATTCAGAACACCTTTCAAGAAATAACAAAAGTAAATATTTAATTATCTAAAACAAGATTTTTTTTCTTTAAATTTGGATGTATAAATATATTCTAATTTTTCTGTTGCTCTTTCTTAATCTGGGACTCACAATAGCTCTATTCTGATCTTACCATATTAATAGAGTAGCGAATCCCTTCTGTCAGTGAAGTTTAATTCCTCCTGTGACAATTGCCTTATAGTCCAGTCAACAAAGGGAGTATAGAGTGCATGCGGGGGGAGAAGGAAACATTTTACTTTAGGAATTTATTGATGGTATTTAGGAGGTAAACATAGTCAAAGCCTCTGTCTATATCTCTACAACTTTATGGCAGAGAAAGTATTTAACATACTAGCTTGTACAGCAAACTATAAAAAGAAAAAAAAAAAAACAAGCTTTTGTGAGCAATATCTGAAGCAGATGCAGTAGGATGGAAACCAGTAGAGATGGGTTTATTCATTCACCTTCTATCTTGTGGATAAGTTTAAGTATCTGGGATCAATAATAACTTCCGGAAATAGAATTTCTGCTGTGATTTCAGTGACTCGTTCCTGCCAACAGATGTTAAATTGGCCTGAACAGACATCTGAAAAGATCATCATTATCCAGCCCTACCAAGTGTCAATTATCAGGCGTTTTGTTACTTACAGCTTGGAGTCCTGTACTCTCACAAGTTCAGAGGAAAAGGCCCTTCTTATTTTTGAAAGGAAAATCTTTTGCCATATATTTGAAGCTGTGAAGGAAGGTTATAACTGTAGAAGGAAAAATAATGCTTTATGGGCATTAATGAGGTTTATGGGCTCTACGGAGGGGCAGTTTTAATAGTGTATATAAAATTGTGCAGGCTACATTATGCTGCCCAGATTGCATGAATGCGAATTTAAGAGATCCCATGGAAGTTGCAGGATGGGAGACTGTATGGCAGTGTTGGGCATTATTTGAACAAATTATTTGAAATTTTATCTTAGATAACGAATTTATTCGTTATTCTTATTCAATTTATATGTTTTCAGGGCTGTAGGTTATTAAGATGATGAAACTCAGTGGCATAGTCTAAAAATAAAAATCATTTCCGTAATCGACAGCTCTGAAAACATAATTAGACCCTCATACGAAAGAAATCCGAAAAACTAAAATAAGTCAAAACGCAGTGGTGTAATCTCAAAATGGAAATCATTTTCAAAAACTAAAAATATATGAATAGAATAGACCCTCATATGAAAGAAATTCAAAAAAGTCAAAACGCAGTGGCATAAGCTCAAACTTAACATCATTTTCCTTCCTTATTTAATTTATTCATTAATAATTAATTAATTTCTTATTAAATTAACATCATTCCTTGCTACCTTTCTATATTTTTCACAGCCTACAATTTGAATATTCCATTCAATCCCGTCCCACTAGATCCCATACTTCCGACCTCTATCCACCTCCTCACCGAACTGCTGTGTTTGACACCTTTAGAATTCAAGCCGTCTTCATCTGGAATACCATCCCTCCCGATATTCGAGATGCACAATCAGTTTCTTCATTTAAATCTCTCTTTTTTAAGCACCTACTTCTTTCTCAACCAGATGGATCATGAAAAGTAGATAACAGAACTTTTTAAGTTCCCCCAGAAATGATTTTGTTTACTTATGTTATTTTATTTTCCCATGTTTGTATTATATATATCTGTATGTTTTTAGTGTTTTGTTTTATTCTTCTTCCAATGTTTTAAATTTAATGAGAATTGTAAATATTTAATTTAATGTATAGCCACACAGGCATTTTCTTTGTATCTGTAATTTGTCCTAAAGGGACAGCAGTCCCAGGATAATAAAAATCTATTTTCATTTCATTTCAAGTGGCATAATCTTAAAATGGAGATAATTTTCAAAAACTGTGAACCCGAAAATATATAAATAGACCCGTATATGAAAAAAAATGAAATAAAATTAGTGAATAAAAACAAAAAACTCGAATAACAAATAAAAATATAATAGATAACTTGAATTTATTTATTATCTAAATAAAACATAAACAGTATTATTCATTGTTCGTAGTTGAAAGTTTGAATAAATTATTCGTTATCTATTATCTATTATTTGAGATTAATTTTGCCCAACACTGCTGGGTAGATGGACCTGGTGAAGACTCATTGATTAGGTCAAGGATTCCTGTCTCTAGTTTCGAATAGAAGTATTATAGAAACAAAATTTGCAATAGAGGAAGGAATAATAATATGAGTGATTCATGGGTGATAAATATTCAGGACCCAGTCATTATAGGATTTTTATTAGTGCCAACTTTTCAACCCAAACATGTGGGTCATCATCAGGGCTGAAAATTTTTAAATACAATCAGAGATATAATATTAGAATTCGTATCTCTGACATGACTTACTTCCTTCAATAATTCATTAAATAATTGAGACCACCTATCTACAACAAGAATAAACTTCGTCGCTGAAATCCACCACATCAGAGATATGAATTCTAATATTATATCTCTGATTGTATTTAAAAATTTTCAGCCCTGATGATGACCCACATGTTTGGGTTGAAACGTTAGCACTAATAAAAACCTTATAATGACTCCGTTCTAAATATTTATCACCCATGATATGTGGAACAGTCAACTAACTTCCTTCAATTATGAGTGATTCAGATCTTCTATTTCAATCAGTTTAGAAATATACCTGATTTCCTTTAGGAATATTGGTATCATTTATGTTTTAAAAATATTCCATTTATAAAAAGTTTTGTTGTCTCTAGGCTGCACAGACTGTTTTGGGCGAGACATTTGTTTGGACAATGGACGACCTCTTCCCAGTTTGTCATTATGTGGTTGTGAGGGCTCATATTCAAGGTCTTGGGTCAGAGGTACATTTTATTGAAGACTTCATGGAGCCCTCTATCAAAAGTGGTGAACTAGGTATTATGTTTACCACCCTTAAGGTAATTAGCAGTTAATATTATTTTCTATTGTTATCTATTATTATATTGAGTGATAGAAATCCTTTTTTATTTGTACTTTGGATTAAAGGGAGCCTTTTGGCGGAATGAAGCCCCCCAAAATAGGAAAATAACTTTTTTTTCATTGGTCCATATTTGTTTCTATTTATGATCTGAGCCAAAAATTTAAATGATCTCAAGATGTTTTCTTTTTACCTCCTCCCTGCTTTGCATTTCGCAATGTTCTCTACTATAAAGTATTAATGCAGACAATGTGTGTTTTATCCTACTTCAATTCAGATTAACTATTTAGAAATTGTACATAATCCGTTAGTAGTATAATACATTATCATTTTCAATTATTTTAATCATAAAATCGATTTTTGAAATAGATGCTGTAGTTTGATTTGGTTATTTTATGTTATGTTATGTCCCTCCCCCTTATTTATGTTATCCTCCCTTTATCTCTTTGTTTTATTATTCATTATTATTTTATTTGCAATGAATATTTCTTTTCTGAATTTTTTTCAGGCATGTTTCTTCCAAATTTTGCAAGAAAAAGTCAGCATTATAAGTTAATATGAAATTTGAATGTTTGTTAATGAACAATTTAATGCATCAAAGATAAACAAGGAGGCAAGTTTTATTATTCAAAAGAAAAAACAATATCCTAAACCAAATTGAAATATTTTTCCATGGTACTAAACTTCCAAGGTTTAAAAGGCCTACAGTTGTTATAAGAGAACAATCTTTGTTTATATTTTAAAACTTTTCTACATCTTATATCTATATATCTGTGTAATAGCTAGATTGAGATTCTAAATATGTATGCAATGATAAAATTAGGCAATAATGATAAAGTATATAATTTTTATATTTATTAACATAAGCAGATTGTTGTCTGCTGCTCATATTTAGGTAAAAGTAAAATATAAAATGTTACCACTTTTATTTTAGTCTTTTCATTTTATGAGTGTAATAGATAGTTAGAAAATTTTCTAAATACGGCAGTTCTTTATTAATAGCTTGTTTCTTGAAAGTAAGAAAGTATTTCAGTTAAAATTATCTATTGTAAATTTTGTTTCACAAATTCTTATGACATCTGCTTAATTTCATAGCTGTGAATTCAAGCCATACAATAATCATAAAAAATAAAAGATAGAGAGAAACTAAATCTATCAATGGGTGAATTCCAAAGGCATTCCAAGTGATTATAAAAAGTTGGACACTTATAATTATATTAAATATTAAAGTATAAAAGCATACAACTTAAATTATCTAGTGGCCATTAGAAATATGAACATTTTTGTGAAATATTTTTTTAAGAGTGTTTAATTTAATTTAAATAAATGAAAAAATTTATTTATATGGGGAATTGCTGTATTGTTTTTATTTGTGATATAATTATGGCATTATATTAATATGTATTTATACAATCAACTGAAGTATGCATATGTGTACATATAAATAGAATTCAATTTATTAAGACTTGTAGCTATAACGGTATGATTATTTTCTATCACAGTTTTGTTTTTGTTAACATTTGTATGTATATTAATGATTTTAAAAGCTCATTAGTATTGATATAAAAATTGTGTATACTTTTGTTCCTTTAAGGAAAGTTGAATTTTATAGGTTTTATTCATTGTTTATGGTTGGTCTCCTAAAAATTTTAACTTTAATTTTTAATTAATTCTAAACGTAAGTATTTATATATACATTTAATTTTTTATAAAAGAGTAAGAACAATTAAAAAAAAAGTATTAAGATTTAAAAGTTTATTCTGAACGCTTTTCTATTTCAATTTATTGATAAAATACCTACTTATTATTGGATACTGTTGCATAGTTAGGTTATCAACTTTGAATCAAATACATATATTGTGGAGTCCTAATATAGTTTGGTGAATTTTAAATTTCACTGATGGATGGATTCAATCATTATAATATTTCATTTAATTTAGTAGTGGTTAAGTAATAAAAACTATTATTTAACTACTTAATTTAATAAACCTGAATATGAAACACAATAAAACTTAAACATTTTATGATTAGATGGAATAATATTTTTATTGGTTGTGAATTACAGTAGAGCATTGATTATCTAAATAATACTTTTAAAAAGTGGCTCTCTGAAATATTTAAAGTTACTATAAAAAAAAAAAAAATGTGAACTTTAAAAACAGCATAGATATTTCATAAATTAATATATTTTATACATTTATTTGGTTACCTCATGTGCAATTTCAGTTTTTTGAGGATAAAAATGATAAAATATGAATGAATATTATAAAGCTTTTTTAATAAATTCTATTATGATATTATGCTTCTACACTGATCTTTCAATGGAATATTTTGACCATTCCTTCCCAAGAGCTTTATAATGGACTGAATGATGGACTGAAGGAGTCTTAGAAGGCATTTCGTTTAGCATAATAGTTATATATTTACAAATAACTTAGAAATATATAACAAATATATTACAAATTTTTTTTTAAAGTAGTATAACTAATTTACAGATTATTAAATGGTATGTGTTCACTCATATTTTATCAATGATACCTTTGAAATTAATATTTTATGTGATACTGCCAAATAAATAATATTATTATTGTTTTCTTAAGTTAATTATAAATATATATTTCTATTAAGACATTCATTATGTCTTTTTAAAATTAATCGATGCCCTACTATAGTCAGTTTTTAATATTAGATTTATGCTTATTATTATTTATTGTCTATACCATTCATTTATAATACTTTTAGGTCACAGAATTGCTATTTTCTTAGATTAACATTGGTAAGAATATTTTTTATAATTACAGTAGAACCCCATTTGTCTGGATCCACCACTTCTGAAACCTGAATTATCAGGTGAATTTTTTATTTTAATTACCTATTTTATTTACTTAAATAAAAATATATATAGGTAAGTGGAAGTATTGATTGTGAATAATTTTTTAATCTGAATTTTCAATGGAACTTCATTTTAAAATTTCCTGAATCCAAATAACAAAGCCTTGCAAAGTAGTCTGCGTGACAGACTAAAAGGAAACATACAAAACTGAAATTATTTATTTAAGAGATATGTATGCCTGGGATGTTACAGCAACTTATTTTTTAAAATAGCTTTTGGATTAAACACTAGATTTTGATTAAACACATTATAACAACGTGCATTTGAATGATCTTAAATATTAGTTATGTATTATTCTCATTAAAATACATGGCTTAAATCCAAATTTAAGTACCTCTGAAGTACCTTTAGTTATGTTTATTTGAAATAATTAACCGAATTTATTTTTAAAAAACGATTACACAATTAGAACTTAATAAAAATAACTATTCTGAAGAGTGAGGCATATATGTTTGTTGGAAAGTGAGCCCTAATAGAATAATTACAGTGCTGTGAAGGTAGGAAATGAAATTTTGAAAACCAGTTTTGTTTCTCATACTTCAATGTTCAAACTAAAAATTAAATTCATTGTCTATTATTAACAATATCTATCTTACTAAATTATTTCTATTATTCTTTCACTTATAGTGTATACTTCTAATTTTTTCCTCACTTTTTTCGTTTTATTGTGAAATAACAAAGTGCATTTTGTGATGGTTTTGATTGATATTTAAAATGAAAAGTGATTTTATTCCTGTTAAAAGGGAATGATAAATGACAATATTAATATCATTTTTTTTTATTATCCGATTATATCTTTTCTTATCCGGAATTTTGTGTTATTCTGTTCAACTTTAGCCACTTTGCAGATAAACAGGGTTCTGCTGTATCACTGTTTATATATTTGTATTTATTTCATATCATAACTTATATAAAATTGATATAGGCCTAATATTTAATGTAATGATGAAAATGTGTATTATAGTTTTGTGTAGGCATGTTTCAATCCTTGATTTGTTCTGAAATTTTATGTTTTTCTTATTTTAGGTTTACTTATTTAAAAATTAAATGTCAACTGATTTTGGTTTGTTATGAACCAGTTATTAATAACCAATATTTGAAATCAATTAAGTACTATATATATTGTCATTCCTTTGCTCAGTTTATGTTTCATCGAGTAGAATATCTGAAACATATCTTAACCATATTTGCTTTATCAAATTTTGAAAACCTCAATTATTTTATAAATTGGTTAAGTAATAACTACATATTAATGTACCTGAAGCTTATTCACTTTTCAAAGATCTCTTAGTAGGGTAGGATGATCTTTGGGGTCAACATAATATTACATACATAATATTTATGTGAGTAAATCTATTAAAAAATATTAATGATGTTTATATAAATGAGATATGTATTTTTTTATACATTCTACAATTTAAGAAAAATATATTACTAAATAACTTTAAAAATTGGTTTCACACTGTTATGCTGTCCGGTCAATTTAAAAGAAGTTAACTCATTTTTCTGTCAAAGCTATTCTTTTCTGGTCTCATTTATGAAGTTTAAAATGTAGACTCCTCTGCTTTTAGAAATTTCTGATCCTACCATTTTGTTCCGATTAAAATTGAGTTCAAAGGGGAATTCTTAAAATGTTTAACCCTCATTTGCAACAATATAATTCTTATTATTGTTCTTTATTTATTTTAAGCCAAGTATCTATTGAATAAATATTCCATTAATAAAAATTCCTGGACTCTCCATATCAATTTGTTTGGCAATTAGAAGTTTGCCAGGAGTGTTCAGACGTTTGTTTGACCTTATAAGTTTGGAGATACATACGTACATGATGGATATCGGGATAGATTATGGACTAAGTTGCTAGAGAAATGGTGTGCACCATATGGTTTTTTAGTTATGAGCGTTATCATTAAGCATAGTCGACTATTTATTGAATATTTCAGAACAACTTTGAGTGATTAACATGCCTCTATGTTATATTTTAGAAAATTGATCTCTTATATCATGGTAAACTATTACTATTACTTTGTACAATGCCAGCTTTTTGAGTTATGTTGAAGTATTGTTAGATTTTCATTTTTATTAGTTCTTTTAATTAGCTCAATAATTTATAAATATGGTTTGTTATTCCTGTTCTTAGTAATTATAGTGTTATATAATAGTATTTTATTGATTTATGTTAGTGAGATTTTAGATTGTTAGGACACTAGTCCTATCTAATTTGTTATTATCTGTGATGTCATTCTTGTTCCTCTAGAATACTAGAATATATGTATATATATATATATATATATATAATTTAACTGCTTATTATGTATTGACATTAATAATATCTTACTACTTATTTACTAATATTATTAAAAATGGTATTAATGACAATCATTTTCCATTATTAAAAATAACTTATATATTTAAAAGTTAAAAAATTAACTTATTGTGATTTACTTTAGTCTAAATCAGTCCATCATTATTATTTTTATGGTTGGGAGTGCAGTCACAAAATTTTATTTTGAAAAAATAAAAATTTTTGATTTTCATTAAAATAATTTTTTTATTTTTTCACTGAGTGTTACCCCAAACTAACTTCCCAACCATATTATCTACAGTCAACTATTTCTCCACCAATTTGTTTTATATTCAATTTAACATCTACTTATGTACTC